GTACTATACCGCTCCGAGTTCCCAACCAGCCCTACCGTGAGACTGCAGCAAAAGCTGGTACTCACAGGCTTACAAAGTAAGCACACTATGCTCCCACCCAACGCATAGCATCATGCTGCTCCAATAGAAATACCCAAAAGACTACTTTTCAGACATTTAAAGTATGATGACAAAAATAAAGTTAATATGAACCACACAGCTTTCATCAAAATTATTAAAATAACGGAAAACTGGAAGATGATAGCGTATTTTACTGAGCAACAAATGATGGAGACGGTGGTGGATACTTCACTGAAAGAAGGTAGTGCGGATCTGATATGGAAGGTGCGGAATTTCAAAACGATAGAAACGGTAGGGCTTCGAAGAAGATAGAAAGGAAGATGATGAAAACGCCTGATACGCAAACACAAGTTGACCAATCGGCAAACATTTCTACGCCACTGACACCTCCTGATAAAAGTTAGCAAATATGGCGGTCAAGAAATATAAAAAAATTACACCTTTAACTGAAGAGGTGATAGTAGGTATGATTATCAATTGGAGATTAGGAGCAGATTCGGACTCGGATTCAGATTCAGTTGACGAAGAACCAGGAGTAATTAAGGCTGAAGCCTCGACCAAAACACCTTTAAAACAAAATAATATTGCGCCGAAAGAAGTCGTGTAGGTCATAAAGATTATCGTGTGGCCAAAAAGATAGAGTACGTGCGATACCAAGCGCCTAGCGAGGTATCTGAAGGTATGACAGAGGTAAAAGCAAAGCTGACGGAACTGAAAGAGATCTTTACAACAACTTCCAATGATATGGAATGGCAACATATTAGGACAGAGGCTTTAGTTTGTAGACGTTGAGCAAAGAACAAGATCTAGCTGGTTGTGAGCTGATTTTAATTTTTTTTTTTGGGATTTCTTCAATTTTTGTTATAGTTATTGTGAGAGAACTAGGGTTATTTATTTGCTTGTTCGTGCAACTGCATATCTTAGTGTGTACTCTTGGTAATGTACTATTTGGTTGGCGTCTCTAAGTATTTCTAAATATTATATATGTACTCGTACTAATTTTAATAAAGAAATGCGTTGCAAAAAAAAGTTCAACAAAATACCTAGAAGCCTACTTAAATATTTCCATAGACAGACGGTGAAAAGGAAAGTTATAAAAATCGACTATGGGCTAGAGGAAGGGGGAGAGACGACGTCCGGAACCTACAAAAGAGAAAACCAAAACGTTAGTAAACGTTTCGCTAAATAAAAAAAAAACAAAAAAAAAGAAAAACAGAATTTCGTAAGTTTACTTTATATATATATTTATATCGAAATTCTGTCCAAGAGCGTCCAGAGCCGTGGTCCTAGACAACAAGAGTGAGAGCAAAAAGCAGAAATAATAAGAAGAAAGAAGGACAAGTGAATAAGTGAAAGAGGATAGAGGGTTTTTATAGGTTTTATACTTTATAAATTTATAGAGTATAAAAATTTTTCCATAAAAGATGACTCATAATTATATTGATGAGTCTACAACTGTTACGCGTCGCGTATAATTATAATAGGAAATTGTTAACTGATCAAAATCACAATTTGAGGTTCCGATTTCCGATTTAGAAAGCTTGTTATATAATAGTAAATATGTGAATATAATATAATAAATATAATAATAATAAATATATTCTAAAGGAATCATTTAATAATTATTCGAAGTGATGCTTGGGCCACCCTTGGGAAATACTATAAATACTATAAAAAATGGTAAAAATAGTGATTCTATACTACGGCTGAAGTAACTAACTAAAATATTATATTACTAAAATTTATAAGTATGTAATTTAATCCAGGTTATTATTAGGATATCATTGGAAAAAATACTCTAATAGAATTTCAAACAGACGAGTTATTCTGTATTTAGTTACGGTATAGTTTTGTCATTTTAGTGCGCTGCTATGTATTTTTTTATCAAGTACGATTTTATGGTACGATAATTATTTGCAGACCATAATGTCTTATTTTTTAAAAAATTGATTATTTCAGTCAATTATATTGACAGGATTTATATTGACAGGATTTAATTTTGTCAAATCATCTGGCCAAACAATTTTACAGTTTATTCATATTATTCATCACGCTGCATCACATTCTACACTTTTTTATTCATTTTTCTAGGATGGCGTTTGCGTGTTCGATACATGTAACGACATGTGAATTAGTGTCTGCAGCTTCATGACATTCTTGACAACTGATAATCTGGAGTATAAACGTGGATAGTTGCGAAGTATGTCTGCCATAAAATTGGATTTTTTGATTTTACGACCTAGTTCGAAGAAACTGGTTTAAAATTTTCTTTATAGTTAATAATTAATTATTTCACATAATAATATTTTTTTAATGGCCTTTATATATAGTTAATAATGAATTATTTCATATAAAAAGATTTTGTTAAATAGCATTTGATAATAAACAACTTTTTACTAAAACTGTAATAGTTGTTACAAATTCTTAACTTTTAAACTACCAAATGAACTTAGTTATCTCCGGACTCCATATTAATTAAAATACGCAACATGCTTACATGCGTCACGTAACTTGTTATTATATAAAAAGAAAAAAAATAATATAAAAACAATCGCTGAATTTCTTGAGCTACTCGGTCTTTCCGTGTAATTGCCATATTGATTATTACAAACACAAAAGACGTTTATGGGTAGAAATACACATACAAAAGAATTTTTTTTGTTCGGAAAGCGCCCGGGATAATGCACTTTTATTTTTTTAGAGAACGTTCTGAATACGGCAATATTTTTCTAATTTAATTTTGAAATTTAGAAATTTAGACACATTTTACTCTTGTTTTAAATTTTAATTTTGAAAGTTAGCTTTCATGTGGACTCTAATGAAAAGATTTCTATTGTTTGTAAGAAAATTTCAATTTTCATATAGACGTGAAAAAAAGGGCTCTTCTCCTGGGTTATTTAGTGCGCTCATCTCAAGCAGACTACACAGGGTTTTTTTACGGTGGTTAATAATATTGGCATAGCGTCAATTTTGTTACCTTTTTTATACTATTTCTTTCGGCACTTTTACCTTAATCCCTGCCGAACTACAATTTTATGGTTTAATTATAATTTTATTGTTTTTTATTTACTTGGGTTTATTTTATTTTATTTACCGGGTGTTTGGTACAAGATTAATATCGTTACTCGTATTTCTTATACTAGATGTTGTTCGAAATATTTTGAAGACATGATACATTATTTTTAAATAGCTTAAATTGAATTTTACTCTGAATTCTCTAAAATTTAGTTGTTTGTTTAATATATAAAATCAAGGATTTTTTAAAAAATAGCCAGTTATCAACAAGCATCGTATATCCGTCCTTGCATATACTGTAATAATATATAAACATCATCATCTAAAACCTCATATTCTTGTCAAAATTAACGAAATATTACAAATTTTATTGCAAATTTAAAATTTTGAACAATATATCTAAAATTAAATGAGTTTCTTTTAATAAGATTAAATATTGAATACAGTATTAAGCTGACCTACTTCTATTGATAGTTTTTAATAACCAAGTCTTATTAACTTTTTTTATAAAATTTTATGAAATTTTAAAGGGAAATTACATAAGTAATCTATTTACATAATTACAATCAAAACTATATTTATTATCTTGAAACATTTTTAAAATGTTGGGAAAAATTGAAATATCGCAATAATTCTTAGAAGTTCAAATATTTCAGAAATATTATAATTGAAAATATCATTGTATAAAGCTGGTTCTTTGAGCTAAGTTCAATTTATGAATATTCAGTATATTTAGTAAATATAGGTTTAGAATATAAAAATGTAATAAGTAAACAACAAATTTATTTATAAGTGAAAGTAATATTATATTTTCATGTGGTTTTCAAAAAAAAGAGCATAAAATATAGAATAACACTAAAAAATACATATTTTATTTAGAAAAATGGTTTCTTAGAATATTAATTTACAACATCATTAATTTTATGTAAATCTATAATTGTTTTTTAATTCTTATTAACAACTTGAAATACTTCATAATTTTCAATCTCATAATTTCTTGGGATACCAATGTCAGGATAAGAACCTGGGCATGAACTCCATTCACCACTTGAATATAGCATTATATCACAACCGCCACCATTATCTTTACCAAAAATTGGCCCATATTTATTATAACAGTATATAGCATATCCCTTTTCTATCACTCTTCCAATCTTCCCTGTATCAGTATTTTTGTAATCTTTAAATGAAAATATAAAACTATCAGCTGTAGATCTAAAAATGGTTTGTCCACTCCAATCTAATGGATTATATCCCCCAATTATTTGATTTGTATTTTTAAACTTTGCAATAACAATATTGGCTCCTTTATTATCAGTTTTTTCATGAAATTTTGCAATGGTATTACCATCCCTACTAGAACGATAGAGTAAATTGAAATTATAGGGAATATCATCTCTTAAATAGTTATCATTTTTTCTATCAATCCAACTGGCAAATAATGCAAAATGTTGCAAATTGACAATAATTGAATCATACTTGTCACATTTTGATGTTGATCGTCTAGGAGGTTGTTTATCAATATTTGTTTTCCTGTTTGGTACTAAATAAAATGTAAAGAGATTATTAATTAAATCTTTTGGTAATATTTCTTTAAAAGGAAATACTTTATCATGAAAATCTTCTGAAGATATATAATAAAATCTAATTAAAGGAATATATCTATGAAGAGTTCTTTCCATAATTGTAACTTCCTCTTTGTTCCATTTAGTGACATCTTCTGAAATAGTAGGATTTTGTGCAAAAGCCCATTTTAATAAGTTATCCCATATTTCAATTTCTTCTAAACATAAATCATTCTGTTTTATAAGCAATTCAATTATAGGTGCTTTTAAGTCGATAAACTTGTCAGTATTAAATAATATTTCAGGTTCTTTACAAATTTTATTAAGACAATAATCCAATAAACTTGTAAAAGTTTCATTTTGATAAATTGTTTCAAGAATTCCTATAGGATTTTGTTGTAAAAACTCGTATTGATGTTTAATTAAATATTCTTCGATACGAGGGGTTAGAGATTGAATACTAAGTTCATCAACTGCCATTAACAACTTCAATAATTCTGGTACCTCTAATTTCGTTATATCAATTTTTCCACAATAAATAAATCTAAGAATTTTTTTGAAAAGATATTAATTAAAAGTATTTAACAGTATATATAGGCCCATTATAGATAAAATATATTTATTACCTTAAAATAATTTTAAAAATATTTGGAGAAATGTTTGGTTTTTCTAAAATAAATTTTCCATCCTTTTTCTTTGCCCATTTATCAGAAAGTGCTGTACGAAAATATTGAGACCTGATACGTAAAATATTTGAATACGCATGTAGTTCTTTAACATTTTCATTTTCACCGGCATAAATAATAACGTCATATCCTTCGTCAGTTTCAAATAATTTTTCATAATCATCATTAACATTATCTTGCCAGGACATTGTTAAGTTGGAAAGGATTACTTTAATGATCTGCAATTATTGAATTATTGCAATTTGTGCAATATATATTCATATATACAATAAGACCAAATTTAGAATTAATGGTGCAACGTTGACGCAGTAGTTCTGTAGTTGCTTCCTAAATTCGGATATCAAGAGAAGAGTTTTAGTGTAACATATGATATATACATAACGATAACGTATTCGTCTTTTTAATAAATAGATTAATTTTATTGTTGTTTTTTCCAGCCATATTCGACTAAATAAAAGAAAAATGTACAAAAAAAATAAAATAAAATAAATGTAATTTATCGTGAACTTGGGATTATATTTCTTCAGTTGTATAATACAATATTTTCTCGACAATTTGAAAAGAAAAGAAACACAAAAAAAAAAGACTAAATACCAATTCAAATACTCCTCAAGTAAGCGGTTAATTTATAAATATATTTTTAGAAATCTAATTAATTCTTTTAATAATAGTGATTTCTGAAAAGATTATTCCTTAAAGACATTATAGATGAAAGCTTCATACTCTCAATTGCTATTTCTTATAGTTTAGAACAAAAAGATTCTTTTACTAGTAAACAATTGGTAAAAAAAATAATTTTATTTATAATTAAAGTAAACATTATGTATTTTATGATTCCATTCATTACTAGGATCATGACACTGGAAAGATTCGATAGTTAACCTGTCTTGATATTTAAACGACTTTGAATTTACTGTACGTATTTTTTATTTAATTTAATTATATCTCTGATGTTTTCGGGTTAATTAATGGCAAAAATCGCACAATTGTGAGAAAACTACATAATACTAGGGAAGGGAACAACTTATTATATATAATAAAAATCATATGATATATGTAAAAAAACTCAAGGAAAATAATATGCTAAAAAATAATTATATCATCCAATGTATTTTAAGCTATATTTAAAATAAAATAATTCAATATTAATAAATTAAATAAGATACAAAATAGTATAAAAACGTACTTCATTACCCTTTTTAAATCAACTTTTTTAGATCTAGTTTTACTTTTTTTCCAACTTCCATCCGATAATCTGATTCACCATCAATCTAAGTTGCGGAATATACTTTGGCAAATCCACAAATCTACTACCCATTCAAGAAATTCATCGACATGGTATCTTTTAATTCTTATTAAGAATAATGGAAGGATGGACCAGCAATACGAACAATTTAATTTACTAAATTCAGTTTCCATTAGGTTATTTTCGTAATATACGATATTCAAAAAAAGAAAAATAAAATTATACGAAAAAAATATTTTTTTTTATTTACATATTTATAATTAGTTACTAAAAAAAGGATAATTTAAATCAAAAGCATCAAAACTTCCATCGCATTTCTGAATTAAACCCTAATATACTGAAATAAAGAATATTCATTATATTAACATATTCTATAAAAGAAAAGAAAATTACGTAACTAATAAATCAATTAAGGTACAAAGCGAATTCTTATCTCTAAGTTTTTAAGGATATACAGGAAATCATTCACAGCAATTTCAAGAAAATTTACATGTGTAATTGTGTAAATTTGAAAATATCAAATACATAATTTATATTTTGGCACTTTTTAGCTACTATTTTATATAAATAATACTAAGCTGTATAACATCCTACCCATACAGTCCAACTCCCAAAGAGAGGACTTAAAAAAAAAGAAATCTAAAGAAAAGAGAGGATCTAAAGAAAAGAGAATGCCTAAAGAAAAAAGAAAAGCTTAAAGAAAAGAGATCCTACTAAAAAAAAAGAACGAATCTTACTACTGAAGTCTCTCTTTTTGTCACTTAAACAATCTTCCATAGACAGACACTGTTTACTACTTGCTTGGTCCTTATGTAAGGTTAACTGAATAATAACCCCTTACCTTTTTTACTTAGGACTAGTTATTATCAAAAAAATACACGTGAGAAAAAAAAAGTGTTGCGTCAAAATATGGGGCTGGACTACTGGTCCACGATGCTTATCCTGGACTAGTCAAATTTGATTGGTCGACATAATAATGGATAGCCGTTGTTTAATTTTTCGTGATGTTTTTTTCCTGTTTCTCCTATTTTTTGTAATAAGCACGTACATTTTTTTTAAAAAGTATTGGTTTAATATTAAATGCTAACTTATTTATTTATTTTTTTTTTAAATAGAATTTTGGAATTTTGGAATAACAGCTTAATATTAGAGATATTTGTGAAAATGGCAAAATGATAATATTTCGTGCACTTTTGACTTTACGTTAGTGCCAATAAAGTTTTAATATACTATTTCCAGATTTATACATCTTTTCTTGGATTTGCTGCTCTTGAGAGAAAGAAAATAAGCCCAAATTCCTAATTAAAATAAATAATTATTAAAACCTGTCGATCGGACAGATAATTTTGATTTTTTGTAGTAAAGTAGTACTGTACTAATTTACTACCAATTTTTGAATCAACTGGGTTTGGCGCTTAGCACACTTCAGTCATAATGAAGATATTTGCATTGTTCTTGTTACCAAATTGTCAATAGTGCGATGCACTCGTGGTACTATAATTAATTATTCATTATAAATTGAAGATTATGTCACAACTCACAACAGTCATCGATTTACATGATCGGCAAATCACAGTCAGTTCTGTGAACACGACGTAAATTATGTTATATAGTATATTCGCGGACATAAAAATAAAAACAAAAAATATACACCCGATATAAATTTATTTTATTTACAATCTGAGTATAATTAATAATTCTTGTAAATATTTGGGTCATGCATTCGTACGCATTCTGAATGGATTCTGTAACAGGTTACGTATATCATATGACCAATCATTCTACAGGTGACATACAACAGTTCGTTTAACTATGTATAAATAGTTTGGAATCTTATTTGTCACCGATTATTCGTCACAGAATGTCACATGTTGAAATCTAGGGGTATTTGTTTATTCCCGCCATAATAGTAATCCAAATATAGTATAATCTGTGACTTGTGTTCCTTAATCGTAAGTAAACAATGAAAATTTTTCAAAATGCAACGTTTTTTAACTTTACTTGCAATGAGAAATTTACGACAACCATCACAAAAGCTTGAGATTTTATCAAATTTTATAATAGAAAATTACAACAAATTTAGAAAGAAATCAAATATTACTAACAAACCATTAATTGTTGGATTAAATGGAATACAAGGATGTGGTAATTGAATAAATTTTAATTTCTTCCTTTTTTTTATATTCGCAAATTATTATTATTTTTTTTTTTAAAAAAAAAATACCTTTTTTTAAAATTTATATCCATAGGTAAAACAACGATTGCAAATGAACTTGTAAAATATTTGAAGGCTACAAATGATTTGTCAGTAGTAACATGTTCAATAGATGATTTCCTTTTAACTTATAAAGATCAATGTAAATTAGCGGAAAAGAATTTTGGAAATAAATTATTAGAATTTAGGGGACAACCAGGAACTCATGATATTTTACTTGGAAAACAAATTTTACAAGAGTTATGTGATGTTCAAAAAAAATACTCTGACTTGCACGAAAAGTTAGAAGAAGAAGGAAGTCTGAAATTTAGTAATTTAAGCGTCTCGATTCCAAGTTATGACAAATCATTAAATAATGGAAGAGGAGATCGATCCCCTAATTGGAATGTCATCTTACCACCAATTCATATTATTCTTATTGATGGATGGTGCTTAGGATTCAATCATTTATCTTCTTCTAAACTCAAAGAAGCGTATGACAATGCATCATCTTGTTCGGCATTAAAATCTCATCCAATTTCTCATTTAGAAATTATAAATGAGAATTTAAAACAATATGAAGAAAATTGGTATCCCTTTCTTGATATTTTTATTTGTATTGAAGCCGAAGATATTAATTATGTTTATCAATGGCGTTTAGAACAGGAACATAATATGAAAAAGACGGGAAAAAATGGAATGAGTGATGAACAAGTTAAAAGTTTTATTGATAGATACATGCCTTCTTATGAATTATATTTGGAAACATTGTATAACGAAAATTTTTTTTCTGGAAATTTTAAAGAAATATATGGAATGCATTTGAAGCTTTTGTTAAATCGGGAAAGGGAAATTATTAAAGTAACGTTATTTTAAGAAGGAAAATATCAGTGAAATCATAATCATTATTTTTTTCATAGCCGTAGCAATATACTTACTGTACATGTATATTAAAATAAAGTATTGATATCAGATTTTTTTTTAAATAAAATTTCATGTGATTCTGTAAATGATCTTATTGATATCATATTCCATTATTCCATGCATAATGACAAATTCATTGAAATATTAAAATATTAATTATCATTATATTATATTACTATATTTATCTTTAGAAAATAATAGTATATGAAAAAGTATAAAACAGCTTTCATTGGCCTAGGGTCTCATAGCACATACCAATATTCTCAGTCAAGTTTCAACTGATGTATTATGAGGTCCTTGCAGACGATTATTTTTAAACTGTATAGAGTTTGCAATTAAAGCTGCTTTAATAAAATATTGGAATACAATTTTTTTTTTTTTTTGAAACACAATTCAGCTCATTTAATTATAATTACTAATAATAATGACCGGCGATCAGCGGTATACTACCGTCGGTGCTTACACAAAATCCAAAATGTAAAATGTTGAAAGCTATTGTCATTATTGGTTTACAAATGGATAAATACATCTGTTCTAGGATAAATTTTGAAATAATAATATCTATATTTTAACATTATTATTTCGTCCTTAATATTTTCATTTGTTATTTATTACTTATTAATATTAATTTGTTAGATCCTTTTTTTTGAAATAAGAAATAATGGCGGGTCATGAGAATTCTTCTAGTATCTCATGGACCTTTTGTAAATATAAATCTTCTATTAGTTTTTCGTGTATATTTGACGATAAATGCTCGACCAGTAATAAATTCTCTTTTAGTTTTACATTGACCTTTCGTAATAAACGTTCTTTTAGTTTTACATGGATCTTTCATAATAAATTTTCTTTCAGTTTCTCATGTACTCTTGCTAATAAACGATGGTCCTTTTTGTGGACCAATGGATGGATCTATGATAATTTATGTGAAGAAAACGATCAACTTTATGAAGTCTCCTTTTTTAAAACAGTAGATTATGATTTGGATAAATACGAAAGATCAACAAAATATAAGAATGCCAAATTAATTTTATGTGAAAAATGTTATCAAAAAATTAATAGTATTTCATGTTTCGAATGTTATGATAAAGTATATAGTCATAAAAAAGAATATCCGACAATGATTGGAGCGTGCGGAGGTTGTTTTGGAATAATAAGAAACTACGATGGGTGTTCATTTTGCAAACTAAAACATATATTTAATAACTTGTTTAATTATTTATGGAATAGGAAATTTAAGAATTGTGATTTTATATTATGTTTGGAATGTGATCAAAATATTGATAGACTTGTAATATGTTTTAATTGTTATAATAAATTAACTAATGATAAAGAAAAAAATCTTATGAAGTTTGGAAGATGTAAAGAATGCTATCAAGTAATAACAGGATCCTATGGTTGTTTATCTTGCAATCAAAAACGATTTCAACGAAAATTTGATAAATGGAGTAGCGGTAATACAGAAATTGATGAATTAATACGATATAAACAAGTTTCTGCACGTGATTTTAGTGATGTTTTAGAATGGATTCCACTTAGTAGATTTACAAATATTAAATATATAGCTGAGGGAGGTTTTGCTAAAGTATATTCAGCTACATGGATTGATGGATATATTATCAATTGGAATCAAGAATATAATAATTGGAAAAGATCCGGAACCTATAGAGTTGCTTTAAAAGTACTAAAAAATTCGAGGGACCTGAGTTTAGATTTTTTAAATGAGGTATAAAATATAGATAAGGTTTAAATTATCTTATTTCACTCTTTCACTCTTATTCATTTTATTTTTTTTATTTTTATAAATTATAGATTAAAAATTTGGCGAAAATTTCTAATAATTATGAGGGTATAATAAAATTTCATGGAATAACGCAAGTTCCTGATACTTCTAATTATGCATTAGTATTCAAATTAGAAGATTATGATTTACGATATTGTCTCAATCAATATTTTAGTCCATGTTCAAATAAGAAAGAATATACAGAAAAAATTTGTTTAGGTCTTTTTAATATTCATAAACATGGATTAATTCATAAAGATCTTCATATAGGTAATGTATTGTGTTCTAATGGATCATCCGCGCGCATTAGTGATTTTGGATTCTGCAAACCAGCAAATGAAGCTTCTTCACATACAAATAATACAAATACCTATGGAGTAATGCCTTATATGGCGCCTGAAATATTACGTGGGAAAGAATATACACAGGCGTCTGATGTGTATTCATTAGGTATTATTATAAATGAAATAGTTTCTATAATTCCTCCGTTTTGTGATCGACCACATGATTACTATCTTGCAATAGATATATGTTGTGGACTACGTCCAAAAATAAGAGAAGATATACCAGGCAAATTAAAAGAATTGATTCGAAAATGCTGGGACGCAGATCCAAAAAACCGACCAACTTCTGAAATGGTATTTAACACATTAGAAAAGATGAAGAGTACTGCACTATGTTTTGATTTTAATGATCCAATAACAACAAAAAAAGTTGATACACATCCTCAAGCAATATATACCAGTCGACTCCTCAATTTTAAAAATTTACCTGAACCTGTAAATTGTTTAAATCAAGAAGGATTTATATCTTCAAGATATATTATGCAAATACAAACAGGTAATTGAAATGAAATATATTATTTTCTGTGTACACTTTTATATGCAAATTTTTTGCTTATTAAGTATTTTATTATCTTTATAGAAGTTAAAAATTATTATTCTGATTGTTTGGATTGTGCAATTATTAACTGAAATAACTTTATTAAGTCAGTTACAATTTTATAATCAATTTTTTTAATTTATATAATGAAAATTATTATTTTTAATATTTTTTTTTAAATTTTTAATTATTTAACGAAGCATATCTTTTTTTAATGGTATATACTGTCATTTGTAAATAGAATTTCGAATAATAATTAGTATTTTATTAGAAAAAGTATTATTTATTTTATATTAATTTTTTTGATTAGCTTTTTGTAACAATACTAGAATTAACTTTAATATAAAAAATTTTGTTTTCTATAATTCATATATTCATGGTATGGAGGAAAAATTGATTGTTTAAATATGTATATAATTTTGGTTTTTTATCAATTTGACAACGTGCATGCCTGCATGGAAATAAAAAATCAATAAAATAAAAAATCAGTGATCATAATATCAAATTTTTCGGTAAATAACCGTTATCATTGGTAATGAATAACTGATGATAATTCATTTTTTGTAAACTCCTTCCTTTTTTAATAAGTGATTAAATTAGTAGTAGTAAAACTTTATTAATAAAAAATAATAAATAAACATTTTATATGTAGTGCTTTTAACTTCAGTAATGACATATAATATTCTCTTTAAAATTTTAATCAACTCGGAATTCCACAGATAAATTCTACATATTTCGTAAACGAAATCCACATATTCCGCTAAAGAATTCCACAATTTTCCAAAAGATTTTACACCAAACGGAAATATACACAATTCTCAAATAAAATACGTGGAAACATGCCCACATAATCCGATGCAAGAACTCCACAAGTTTCCAAATTAATCTACCTAAAAATTTCCTGATGAATATGCAACATATTTGTTAATTGAATAAAGTTAAAAATTGAATAAAGTTCTAATTTAGTAATTTATCAAACCCATAAAATTTGCTATTTACTTTATATAATTTAACAGTAATTTATTTTATAATTTTACCATTTATATCTGTAAAGGAATCGTTTTCTATTTGGAAAAATATGTTATCTGAATCATTTGCCTAATGCGATAGAAACTTAGACTTTTATTCATAACCTGCTAAATAAATAATTTTTGTCTATTCTTTATTCATCCAAATATATCATCATGTTACACTTCGAGTAAGTTCTTTCAAATGATTCCAAAAAATCTATCATTGTAATTGTAAACTATATTTACATTGGCTAGTACGGATGTTGAACTCCGTGATCAACGGTAAAATTTAGTTGATTAAAATCAAAAATACAACGTTATTTAAAGATAGATTTTTTGTGCTGAATAAAACAGTTCAAATAACGCTTTTAAATAATTTTGCGCCAGGAACTCCTATAACTTACAAACGCTATCAGTCAGACCGATTTAATATACAAATAATGCTAGGTCATAAGAGTTCTTCTAGTACTAGTAGTATCTCATGGACCTTTTGTAAATATAAATGTTCTGTTAGTTTTTCGTGTATATTTGACGATAAATGCTCGACCAGTAATAAATTCTCCTTTAGTTTTACATTGACCTTTCGTAATAAATGTTTTTTTAGTTTTACATGGATCTTTCATAATAAATTTTCTTTCGGTCTCTCATATACTCTTGCTAATAAACGATGGTCCTTTTTGTGGACCAGTGGATGGATCTATAATTTATGTGAAGAAAACGATCAACTTTATGAAGTCTCCTTTTTTAAAACAGTAGATTATGATTTGGATAAATACGAAAGATCAACAAAATATAAGAATGCCAAATTAATTTTATGTGAAAAATGTTATCAAAAAATTAATAGTATTTCATGTTTCGAATGTTATGATAAAGTATATAGTCATAAAAAAGAATATCCTACAATGATTGGAGCGTGCGGAGGTTGTTTTGAAATAATAAGAAACTACGATGGGTGTTCATTTTGCAAACTAAAACATATATTTATTAACTTGTTTAATTATTTATGGAATAGGAAATTTAAGAATTGTGATTTTATATTATGTTTGGAATGTGATCAAAATATTGATAGACTTGTAATATGTTTTAATTGTTATAATAAATTAACTAATGATAAAGAAAAAAATCTTATGAAGTTTGGAAGATGTAAAGAATGCTATCAAGTAATAACAGGATCCTATGGTTGTTTATCTTGCAATCAAAAACGATTTCAACGAAAATTTGATAAATGGAGTAGCGGTAATACAGAAATTGATGAATTAATACGATATAAACAAGTTTCTGCACGTGATTTTAGTGATGTTTTAGAATGGATTCCACTTAGTAGATTTACAAATATTAAATATATAGCTGAGGGAGGTTTTGCTAAAGTATATTCAGCTACATGGATTGATGGATATATTATCAATTGGAATCAAGAATATAATAATTGGAAAAGATCCGGAACCTATAGAGTTGCTTTAAAAGTACTAAAAAATTCGAGGGACCTGAGTTTAGATTTTTTAAATGAGGTATAAAATATAGATAAGGTTTAAATTATCTTATTTCACTCTTTCACTCTTATTCATTTTATTTTTTTTATTTTTATAAATTATAGATTAAAAATTTGGCGAAAATTTCTAATAATTATGAGGGTATAATAAAATTTCATGGAATAACGCAAGTTCCTGATACTTCTAATTATGCATTAGTATTCAAATTAGAAGATTATGATTTACGATATTGTCTCAATCAATATTTTAGTCCATGTTCAAATAAGAAAGAATATACAGAAAAAATTTGTTTAGGTCTTTTTAATATTCATAAACATGGATTAATTCATAAAGATCTTCATATAGGTAATGTATTGTGTTCTAATGGATCATCAGCGAACATTAGTGATTTTGGATTCTGCAAACCAGCAAATGAAGCTTCTTCATATACAAATAATACAAATACCTATGGAGTAATACCATATATGGCGCCTGAAATATTACGTGGAAAAGAATATACACAGGCATCTGACGTGTATTCATTAGGTATTATTATAAATGAAATAGTTTCTATAATTCCTCCGTTTTGTGATCGACCACATGATTACTATCTTGCAATAGATATATGTTGTGGACTACGCCCAAAAATAAGAGAAGAAATACCAGGCAAATTAAAAGAATTGATTCGAAAATGCTGGGACGCAAATCCAAAAACCGACCAACTTCTGAAATGATATTTAACACATTTGAAAAGATAAAGAGTACTGCACTATATTTTGATTTTGATTTTAATGATCCAATAACAACAAAAAATTTTGATACACATCCTCAAGCAATATATACCAGTCGACTCCTCAATTTTAAAAATTTACCTGAACCTGTAAATTGTTTAAATCAAGAAGAATTTATATCTTCAAGATATATTATGCAAATACAAACAGGTAATTGAAATGAAATATATATTTTACGTATACTGTATTTATTATATGCGTATTTTTGCTTATTAAAAATTTTATTATCTTTATAGAAGTTAAAAATTATCATTCCGAATGTTTTGATTGTGCAATTATTGATTGAAACAATTTTATTAGGTCAGTTAAAAACAAAATATGCTTATCTGTTATACAAATATGAAATTCTTATTTAAATTTATTTTAAATAGTATATATAATATATTATTATGGATCATTTAAATTTCGAAGATTAATTAATTAGTTAAAGAAATTAATCGATAGATAGTAATGTTACATTTTCTATTAAACGCGACAACTTTGTCCGGTAATTTGATATTCTTTTTTTATTCAAATATACTAAGCTACGCTTTTTTGAAACAGAGATAAAAGTATAATTAATGATTCCGAAAGAGTCACGTTGGACCATTATTATCTTTCAATGACAAAATTAGCTGATTAAAATCAAATAAATAAATAAATATTAAGATCGTTATTTAAAGACGAATTATTCGTGCCAGATAAGGCAAAGGAACTCCAATGAACCTTTCTTTAGTTTCGTTTGCATCTTTAGTAATAAATGATCCTTTAGTCTCTCATGTGTCTTTTGTAATAAATTATCATGGTCTTTTAAGTCTTTATATATCAGTGATGAATGAACATGCAAATGCCTGTATCATTTTGTGTCGTGAAGTTGAGATTGATTGACTTAATAAATAATATAATTTGGCGCGTTTGATTCAGAATACACGTAATTTTTTAAAAATGACAAAAGAGAAAAAATTTTACGGATAAAATAACATTTACTATGGCAATTCATATAACTTCATTTAATCCAAAATGTAAAAACTTTATTAAATTTATTAAATCAACGAAAGACTCATTTTTAACAAATTGCCAGAATGGAAATAATTAAGTTTTTTTATACCGAAATAATGATTTCTGTTATATTTGATGTATTGTCCGGTAATTGTCCGGTAAATCTATAATTTTTATCAGGTGATTAACATATTTCAACGTAACAGAAATTTACATGTTTTGATTTTTCAAAATGGTGTACTGGCCACGGACGAAAAATGAATCAATGCTTAATACTATTTTGAATGAATCATAAAATGTAATTTGTGTTCAACTTTCATTAATATAATTTTGCAATGAAAAAATATTTCGTAAAGACTTTCTATAAATACATTTCTTTTTTCCCAAAAGTGCATTACATACGGCATAGAATTGTGTTACTTTGACAACTGTTTACTTAATCAACTTTTCTATCACAATTCACAATAATCATATATATATTTTTCTTATATAATAATTCACCATACACTTCATTTTGATCGTCCCAACTTATGAAAAATTTCGTGATACAAAATTGACTCATTTGCCGTGGAACTTTATTTAGTTTAAAAAGTATAGTACATTATATAACTATTACGGAAATTCAAGTCCATTTAAAATTTTCAATCCATTATAACTATTAGCAAAGATATCGCTTAGGATAAATGAATTGATTGGTTTCTTTATACGTAATGTAAATAGAAATTAATTCTGAAGAAGGTGAAAGAAAAAAAATTTACTTCGTCATTTTTGTGTACATACAGTATATAACTAATTTATATAAATAGAACCCGAATTAAAGATTTGTTGTTTTCATTCAGATATACATCTGGACGTTATAAAATTATAATTTAACCATTTTTTCAAAAAAAAAAAAAAAAAATATGCAACAAAAAATTCCGATTGTAATTATTACTGGTGCTGGACTAGGAGGACTTTCTTTTTATCATGCTTTGATAAAGAACAAAGATAAAAAAGAATTTAACGTAAAAATTTTTGAAAGAGAATCTGGTCCTCAAGGTATAGAAACGAATATTTTTCATAAGAAAAACTTTCATGTTAACTCGTTGTTTCCTACTCTTTCCATATTAAAAAAAGATCGATGGCAAGGGTATCATATAAGTATAAACAATTTCGGAGCTCGATCCCTTGTAAATTGTCTTCCCTCATCGGTCGCTTCAAACCTTCCAAAAGCAATGCCAAATCCGATTCCTGATGTAGAACGTCATGGATTTTCACTCTCCGATCATACAGGATGTCTATTATTAAAACCACCATCTAAACTAGCTAAAGACGTTTATGGGGTCGCAAATGCTTCCGGTTCTTCGGAAATTATTACTTATCGTGATAGACTTAGAGATGTTTTATTAGAAAATGTACCAGTTCAATGGGGTAAAAAATGTATTGGATATGAGGAAACTGAAAAAGGCGTTTGGGTATTTTTTGAGGATGCTTCGAAAGAATTTTGTGACATTTTAGTTGGTGCAGATGGGATAAATTCTCCAGGTAGCTATAAATAAATAAATAAATATGATTTAATTTTATTTTATTTCTTATTTTTTTTTTTTATTCTTTTAGTTCGAAAACGAAAAATACCCGAATTACAAATTTTTGATTTTGGAATAACTCAAATTAATGCGGATGTAGCCATACCTAAGAGTTTAATAGTCAGATTAATTAAAATCATTGGAAACAGCTTATCTCAGAAAACTATTGGATTAAATGGAGATGTCATCCTTATTATTTACCGCTTGATTCCAATCGAACAAGAGCAAGAACAAAAGGATAAATGTGAACCTCACTACAGGGTAACATTAATTTTTAATTATCCTACTAAATTAGATGATAATGTCGAAAGTGACAAAATTAAAGTTGATGATAATGATCCTGCATCAGTTATCGATCATGTTAAATATATGATTCGAAAGTTAAGACCAGAATGTGAATTTACTAATATTTTGTTAGAATTGTGGAGTTTGGTTCCTAGAACAGCTCCTGATCCTAAAAATTATTTATTTAAAACTTATAATCCTGTACAACGTAGACAGATTCGAGATATTGATCCATTATCTGTCAATGTATGGACAAGTAGTAGAGTTACATTATTAGGAGATGCTGCTCATGCTATGAGTCCTGTATTAGGATTAGGAACAAATAATGCTATTAAAGATGCTGAAGTTCTTTCTCAAGCATTACTTAATTATTCTCCAGAAAATTATATTTCATGTATTAAAGAATATGAAAATGAAATGCTAAAACGAACATCTGCAGATGTGCTAAGAGCTAGATCTTCTACATTAAAACAATCTTCGCCAGTCGGATATTTTGGCTCTATTTTTAGAAATAATTACATGAAGACTGTAAATTTTATCATGAATACCTTTTATTATGATTATTTTTCTAGGAAATAAATTATATCAATTATATTGAAAATATAAACTTATAAAAGATTTTTTGTTATACCCTTTACTTTTATTTTTGTGAATGAAATCTTTTATGTTACGTTATTTCCATAGAAGTGATGTATCAGAGCACATGATCAGGAACCAATACTGTACATGATGCGATAAATTAAAAATTCCGGCTGGCTAGTGATATAATTATTTTTTAATAAAAAACATTTTAACATTTATTTTCAAAATCTCTTTCACTTAAAATAAAGATGGGAGAGTTATAATATAGTTTTTGAAAATTCAATATAATGGATTTTCAGTATATCAAAATTTTTTTTGCTATATAACGATTCGGTTTATCAATTAATCACAATTTGTCACGTCCCTCTGTATTTCATTTTTACCGTTTTGGAATATTATCAACCTTATTATATTAGTTTACTCCATATAAAATAGAAACCTATAGCACCAACAAAAATACCCATGACTAATACAATTTACTTGATTTAATAATATCGATTTAGAACTGGGTATAACTTATATCTCATAAGTATTTTAGATATGATTTTTAGATGGAATTAAAATTATAAAAAAAAATTATGAATCTTTATATATAAATATAATAATATAATGTACCTGATTTTGCTTCTTAAGTACAGCGAATTAAATTCAACTGAGAAAGTTAAAAAGTGTATCGTAATTAGCGATTACGTAAAAGCATAAGTTAAAAAAGGATCTTAATTGTCATCGTGAAATCGAACTATGAATATTAACTTTCACTCACTCAATTTCTAGAAATATCATGTTTCACGGATTTATATTATTGTTCACAAATTCAATTTTTCGCAGGAAGTGTCGCTTTAACATTTACCTTAATGTCATCGTATCTATAGGACATATAGTAGGGAGAGATAGATTAAAACCAAAATAGTGAAAGTAGACATAGTAAATGGTGTAAACATTCTAATTAATTGATCGTATAAGTGTACTACATTTCTTACATTGTTTTTGTGTTCCATGTGATTCCAATACGCTTTCTGGCTCGCACTTCTTATAGTATCATTTGCAATTGACTAGTTCATCATATAACTTTATATGATTCATGTTTCATTTTTTACTAAAAATAATTATATTTTAACACATACATCATCTTTCGCAACAAACGTATAATAACCTAATGTAAAGTAAAAAATTTATTTCATTAATAAATAAGAAATGGGATTGCCTGTATTCTTTATTTTGTGAATAATTTAAAAATTCTTTATTAGGTATTCTTTAGTATTTGCAATTTTGCATCACGACCATTATATAATTTTTTTAAAATTAATTATAATATTATTATTCGTAACCTTTTTTTTTTAATAAATCTAGTTTCCAAGAGATTTCTTCAATATCATTCAGCACCAAGGTGATCACCAGGATTTGGAGGATTTGGAAGATTTTTACGCTTTTTATGTACCCACTTATAAATTAAAAATGCACCAATCATAACTATGATTGTTACTATAACTCCAACAACCGCTGCAACTACAACTTTCTTATCATTTGATTCATTGGATTGAGAATTTTCTTTTTTTTCGGCATGTTGTTCAATTTCAAATTCAAATGAATTAACCCAAGTAAAATTTCTTATATCCATTAAATAAATATTAGTATTAGTTTCCGATGGTTCAGTATTTAGTTGAGTAATATTACCTATTAAAACCAATTTATTATTATTATTATTATTATATTAAAAAATCAGCTTTTGAATTATAATAAACTAAATAAATAAATAAATAAATAAATTACCAAAAGCTACAATCATATAATTTCCAACAAGATTAGCTGTATGGCCTTTAAGTGATGGAAATATGCCAATACTCGAAGTTACTTTCGGTATAGTCCACTCAAATGGTTCCGTTTCTGTATTTAAAACGGCTACATCTGGAGATACTCTGACATTAAAAATGCCATTCGCAATTTTAGAACCCCCAAAAACAATAATCTTAGTATTTGGAGCTTCAATATATTAAATATAAATAGATAATTAGTTAATTTGTTAAAAGTTTTTTTTTTTTTAATAATTTTATAATAAAGTATTTTTACCTAATACTGCCGTATGAGACAAACGATTGTCAATTATTTGATCCGGAAATTTTGCAGTCTTTTTTATAAAATTAAAATGGATCATTATTATAAATAATAATTATTATTAAAATTTAAAATATTTATACATACTTTTATCGACCATGTTGAAGATTTTATATCATAAAGAACAATTTTCGAAATATCTACGATCTGATCAAGATTTTCATGACCTCCAATATAAGCAATAATACCATTTGGTAATAATGTTGCAGAATATGAAGCCCGTATAATAGTTGAAGAACTAATTGACCATAATGAATCAACAGTATTAAAAATAATCAAATCATCAAGGAATTGTGGTGTTGATGAACCGACAAGTACATCAGCAACGCCACCATAAATATAAATTTTTCCAGAGTTATCACTAACAGCATTTATTTTCCTCCTTCTTTTTGGTACAATTCCATTAACAGAAGGAGCGTTCCATCTTGATGAATTAACATTAAACTTGAATACGAAAGATGTAAATGAGTCTTGTTGTGTAATTATATCGACCATAACGCCACCAAATAAATAAATATCTAAATTATTATTCACATCATTCGATGCAACAGTTGCGAAATGACTTCCAAATGGAATTGAAGCTGTTGAAGTAAGATCAAACCATGGTGGATTTTCTACATCAAACGATCGAGATAAATTAAGATAAAATACTTCATTTGATACCAAACCATTTCTATATTGTCCGCCAAAAAAATAAAGGTTATTTTTAATAAGTACAGAAGAATGAGTCAAACGTCCAATAGGAGCGTATGATTCGACCCCAAAGAACACAACTAAGATTAAAATTAAATATAAATAAAGAGAATAAAAATAATATGCCATTTTTTTTTTAAAAAAAAAATATGAAAAGGAAGTCCAAACTTTCCCTAAAAAAAAAAAAAAACCTTTTATCCTCTTTATAGATATGTTTTGTGTCTTTGTGTAATAAATAACAATTCCTAATCTCGTATTGTACAATATATGTACAATATAAAGGGGGTTGTAGTAAACTGTAAAATTAGGTATTATTTTCCTTTTTAGGATACTATTGGATAAACGCAATTCACGAGCGCAGCAGATATATTTTTTACGATGATATTTTTTTAAAAAACAAATAATCAAATGATCTTACCAAGATGAGCGACGTTATCACGTTATCCTAGATTGAAGTGATATCATATTTTATCATTTGATTATTGTTATAATGAAGTGTTAGGTTGTGCGCAAAGAGTTTGATGCGCAATAATATTAATTAATCGATAATTTTATATCTTGAATGATAAAATAAATAGATAAATAAGCGAACAAAACAATGCGAAATTGACCATTCCCGAACTGATAATATAATTTAGGTCTAATATTTATTTCCAATTCACTATTACAAATAGAAAATCAAATTTCGATTCAAATATTCAATTCCCATTTTATAATGAATTACAAATTTCAATATTATAATCACAATAACCATTGAATTTGCTAATAATACCGACAACAATAATTATTATTATTTGCAAATTTCTTTACTTCAACATAATAAATATAATCATCGATTATATCACTTTATGAATTTTATCAGCAGGTGCAACTGATTTTTAGATTTGAGTAATAGATCATAAAGATATACTGTAAGTAAAATTTTGTAGATTGGCCTTCTGTAAACCATTATTTTTATCCACAATTGTTCCATCAATTATTAAAGTTTTAAATTAACAAATTTGGCAACAAAATCTAATTGGCCAGCTTATATCGATTGAAATAATGGAATGTGCTTTCTTTGTTAAAGCTTCTCTTATTTTTTTACATGGAATATTATATACATTACCTCCATTATTACCATTTGAAATATTGTAAATTCCTTTGTGCTTTAATTAAAGTAATTAATTCAAAACTACAATAATTGATCTGATATTATGACAAATTTGTACCAACTCATTAGGAGCAAAGCATTCTAATGTAGTTACGTTTAAAGATTTCCTGTAATATATTATTATACGATGTTTAGCCATAGTCATAATATATTTTAATAAAGGTTTAGGGGAATTGATGTAATTATCCGGTAAATGAACTTTAGATTCGGATGATAAAAATGAAATTATGGTTTTATATAAATAATTCAATCTTTTTCGCTTCCTGAAATCTTCATTATTAATTAACTTCCAAGGATCTTTTCAAAAGAATTGGCACAACCGTTTCACACCAAATTCTGTTAATCAAAAGACAGGAATATCTAAAAATTTTTTTAAACAAATTTAATGACCAAATTTATATACAGTAAGGGAAGTATACAGTATAATAAAGGAGATGACGAAGAGAGTAATTAAAATTATTAGAATATCATTATTAAAATTTACATAACTAGTATACATTATTGCAACCTACAGTACATTACTTTGTAATCTTATTCAATTATATGCCCAAGATAATAACCAATTTTCAACTATCAACTTTACAACTATGCATTGAATATAATTTGTACCGTGACATCATTGCAATTATAGCGTTAGTAACATTTTTATTAATTATATTGCCACGTTTATTAGTACATTCGTTGGATAGTGTAAAGTAATTACTAAGTTAAAATCCTATTATTATTATTATGAAAATATTCTTTAAATGATTTAGTAAATGAATAGAAAATAAATGTACAGTTCATTTGAAATTTTATATATAAACTGATTTAAAATTCAGACTCTTTAGACTCTTTAATTGATATCTAATGATAGACGCGTACATGATGATTATAAAAAAATACGCGTAGACTCCGCAATAGTCAATAGTCTACTGTAATTAATACTAATCACGTCATTCCTTAATATACATATATAAATATGCTTCTTGTTTTGACTTATTTTAACTTGCTCATGTTAATTTGAATTTATTCAATCCATCAAATCATAAAAAAAGCTTCTCGAACCTCTAAAACATTCTTCACTTGCTACCAACCTTTTTTAAAATATTAAAATAAAGATGGAAACCTTTCACGGTAATATATTGATTTATCATAAAGCTCATAAAGCTAAACCATTTTTTAAACTTTACGCGATTAAATAAATTTTAGGGAGGATCACAAGCACAAAAGATGCTTTAATTATCTTCGGTAAAAACTTATACTTATATTTTTTTATACTTTAAAAAAAAAACTTATCTCTTAATTTACATAATAAATATTAGAGGCGTGTCGTCAAGGAGTGCTATGCAGAACTACACGTCGCATGGTAGAAGATGAGAAGAAAATTTTAAGGGCTGGTTCCGTGTAAATAAATCACTATTACATTATTGTTACTAGCAATGAGGGAAGATAAATCGTATTTATATTAATAAATCATAGATACGTGTACGATGAAGCTGAATCGGGAATCAAAAGATGGACTGATGGGAAGTAAGTAAAAGTTCAAGTATTTTTTTTTTACTATAGTTTTATAGGCAAAAAAAAAAATTTCAAGTACATTATGCAAATTGGCTAAAAGTACTTTCTTTTACTCGCGGTGTCGCAGAATTTGGTCTCCTAGCAAAATCGTTGGCGATTTTCTTGTTTATCAAGAGCTCGAAATGAGATTTCCTTTTGTGAAAAGTTACGATAAACTAAATAAAAAAACTAAACAACGAATCAAGAATGAAGATTTAAAAGTTCAAATTTCTGCCAAGGGCACATTTATCCATCGTAAAATTGGTTTGAGTAAAAAAACAATAACTGTAAAGTTGAATGATAGCTTGCATCATATGATTATCTATGAAGATAAAGAAGGTTCGGTTCATCTTTTTTGTATGTTTATTTAATTATGAGGATACTTATGATTCGATTAATTCGTTTATTAATATAGGCTCTCATAACTTTCTCTACTCGCCTTGTGCTTATGTTCAATTGTTGACAATTGAGCCAGGTGTTGACTTAGTTCAAAATGAAGCTCTACGTAGACATAAAGTCATTACTTATAATGATAGGCCTTCTCCAAAGTTAAATAAAGTTAGAGGAAGTGGAGACGTTGATATGTTGTCTCCTATTGCTGTAAAAAATGAGTGTGATGAAAAGGCTGTAGACTACTCAATATCCTCTTCGACTTTATTCACCATTCCTCCCATAAGATCGGTTTCTTTAACTCAAACTTTGCCAGCCAACACGGAAGCCTTATATTATGTTCCCATTCAAGCATTACAGGAAACTTCTAAAGTTGATGTATCTGAAGCGACATTATTAAATGTAGTTAATTTATCACAAGAGAATAATCAGCAAACCTCAACTAATTCCGACTTGGAATCGGTTCAATTGATTGTCGATGGGATCAATATTTTGCAAAACAACGGTCATTCCTTGCCATTTAATATTCTCCCAGCTTATGCCACCGTTGCTGTGAGAGATACCGCTGTTCCTAATACGACTGTTGACGCAGTAAATTCGGATTTCTTTGGCTTGGTTGACTTTTCTCGTTTGTAAGTTATTATATATGCAAGTGAGATTGGAAAGCTGCGTTGGAATGAAATTATTTTTATGACCAATTTCTTTCATTCTATGTACAAATATTTATGTAACTTACTGTTTATATTTATAATAATAATAATTTATTTCTATATATACATCCATTCTATATATGTATATATATTTCAAATTTATGAATTTATATTTATGATGTAAATATGATATCATGATTAGCTATTATCTTTTGCATAATTGAAAAACAAGTTCTCAATATATCGAATATGTAATATGCGAATCTATTTAATTTCCTAAATTTTGACATATTAAATTCTTCTAATACTAACGTGATGGAAGTCATACCCCGGGTATAAATGTATTTTAGTCAACGGTACACGCTCTGTAGTTAACTATCAATTCGAATTTTTACTGAAAGTTTCATTTAAATAAACTGATTAACGTGGTTAATAATATACTACAGGTAATTAAAATATCTCTTTACATAATATGTAAATTATTATAATATTTTTTTAGCGTTTGTTTGTTTAATAAAATTGTTACGCAATATTTTTAGTATTATTCTAAAAAAAGATGCATTCCACTTTTAATCTTTCTATCTTTCTTCGCGCGAAACCAGATTTTTTTCAAGATATATAATATAAACCTCAGCTCTTTTACGAGTTTGCGAATTTTTTCTTCTTCTTGTTTTAACTTTTTCCACAATTCTAAATTGCCGTCCCAATAGTTTCAAGATATGCGGGATCAGCCTGATACTTTTCAAATAGATCCTAATGAAGTTCAAAAAATTGGAAAAAATATCACATTGCGAAAAATTTATTACTGCCCAACTGTCTAATATTTCAACCCTAAATTGTTAAAAGATGTATGTGAAAAGGAGGGCGCTTAAGTACGGAATGCCATGACTTTTTAGAATATCGGCAGTCATACCAAATTTATGAACCACCTCTGTAGAGTCAGTTATGGGTGTCCAAATTATGTGATTTGCTGTTTCTTATTCATGATCACTATAAAGACAAAATATATAAAGTGGTGCTTAATATAGTAGATTGCACTTACAGATGCACAAAGTTTCAATCCCTTTTATATCAAAAAATAGGTCTGGAATTGCTAAAGCGTTCAAGAAAGTATACAGAGGTCAAAATAATCCGCAGCCTTTTCTTTTTGTCGCAATGTGGTGGAGGTTGTGAATTCGTGAATGAGACTTCCTAATTAATGCAAGAGCATAATTTGAATAATTGGTCCCTTTAGCTATTGAAGACTTACAATTGTAGGATGTTTTAATCAAACGCTCTCAAAAAATTCTATATACAAGATACAGTATGCTCTTGAATCGATAATTAAATTAATACGAGGCCAAATTAAGGAGTTACAGTTAGATTTACGTGACTCAAACACTCACATGACTATCACTAGTATAATGTTCTACGTACGTCGGGACAATAAATCAATAAATATGAATTTTTTTCACTACTCGATAGATTTGTAGAATTTTTTTTTTTTAAAAAAAACTCTACAATCTCAAGAATCCAAACAAGTATTGTCATATCATAAAAAGTTTTATATTTCATCCAGTTAACGCCTTGATGCAAAACCCTTTATCATACGAAAAAGAAGAACCTCTAGAAGTGGCTACGTCTATAAATATGGATAGGCTAACACAACTTCAAGATGCAATAGATGAGGTTTAGTTTCTTTTAAGTTTATATACGTTTTGATACATTAATTAAATAATATTGATTCTAATTTATAGATGGCTAGAATGTTTGCTAATAGCGTAGAATTTCTTAATAGAGGTGAGTTTTAGGTATAATTAAAAGTTTTCATAATATGGCTTTCTCGATAATTCGATAATTAAGTTCATCGTATTACCTGATATAGTCCAGGTCGGTCAGGATCAAATAAAACTTAAAGGTAAGAATTATTTATTGTTCGTTTATCCATGTGTGTATGTTTTTTTTAAATCAAATTAAAAGGAATCTTTTCTATTTAGAGAATCAACAAGAAATTGTGCAAGATGTTGTTAAAAAAGCAAAACAAATAGAAATATTAATAGATAATTTGCCGGGGTTACGGAATACAGAACAAGAGCAATTCGATATGATCAAAGAACTAAACAAAGAAATGCAAGAAGCTAATTTAGAATATATAAAAGCTGTTGAAGATGCAGGTAGATAATTTATTTTGTTTTTTGTTTCTATAATTATTATATATATTTAATCTAAACAAAATTTAATTTCTAAAAGAGTCATTAAGAAAACAAATAGTGGAAACAATAGAAATACTTTGTAGGGACCAAAGTACAGCATATAATACAGAGGAATAAGACGTTATTATAATAAGCTATTCTCTATTCATTAAATGTCGAGTTTCTCGTTCTTTAACTTCTTTTACATCATGATCTTCTTTAACTAGCCAAATTAGTATTATACCTATAAATGCAATGGCAAGTAACAACAAACAAGGCATTTCCATTGTAAATTCCTGATTAATATTTTCAGTAATGTCCATTAGAGAAACAAGTATGATGCCCCATATTTGTGCTGCAGAATTTAGGATTCCTGTGCTCGTAATTTCATCTTCTACTAGACGGCTGGAAGTAATTACTGGCGCATATTGGAATACTGCCGGAGTTATTGCTGTATTATATATTATAATATAATTAGATAATTTTTCTCTCAAGTATTAGATAATATATAAGATGAAATTCAGTAATATTGCTTACCAAACGAAGATAAACCAAAGAACATGCTATAAATGAATAACAATTAGTTTAACTTGAAATCTTTGAAATAATTATTTTTTAATGAGATCAATAATATTTACCATGACACGGTTACAAAAAACATATTCTTAATCTTCAAACCTGTAATGAGGCCACCTAGCGAAAGAAAGGTGATAATATATAATATACGACATGATCGTTTGTATGCGAATGTGCGATCTAGATAAACTCCAATTAGAACAGATCCAGCCATTCCAGCTATTACATTAATAAATCCCAAAAATCCAACCTGTGACTATTTAAAAACAAAGAAATTAAAAATTTTTGTTTTTTTTTAATAACTTTGAGCACATACCGTACTGCACTGCTAGATATAAAATTTTTACTCTCAATTAGTACCCCCCCTTAGTTCTGGTAACTTTAGCTTAATTCTGGTTAAAATTATTATGTACCCCTCATATAATACCCGGTATCTCACAAAGTACCCACGGGTATTATANCCCCCCCTAATTCTGGTAACTTTAGCTTAATTCTGGTTAAAACTATTATGATCCCCCTCATATAATACCCAGTATCTCACAAAGTACCCACGGGTATTATATAATTTTTAAATCAGGTATTTTGTATAATATCCGGGTATTATGTGCAGTGCGGTACGGTAAATATATTTATTATTATTATCGCCTACCTCATCGTGCATTTTGAAGACAGGAACTATAATTTGAGCTAATAAAGTGCTCACAGCATATGACGAACCAACAGTTAATCCATAAGATGTTGCTAGTATCATAAATGTTTTATCTGTACAAAAACCATTTATTGTCGAAAATGTCGCCAATTTTTTACTAACACCACTTTAATTTCAAAATATATTATTAGTAATCTTAGGCATTGTCAAGCAGAGATCAATTATTAATAAGCACTACCTGCGAGGTAATTTTGCTTCGGATGTAAATGTGGCTACACAAATCAAATAAATAATTGAGCATGCACCAAATTGTATTAATAAATATGTAGGAATATCAGTCGCAGCTGTGTCTTCTTTAATAAACCATGGTGATAATAAAAACCTATAACATAATCAAGGATTAAAAAATTTTCGTATATTAGGATATAAAAATTTATTTATTTATACCCAGCAGCAATCCCAGCATTATTGGCAGTAACTCCAATTCCTGTTGCTAAATTTTGTTCTCCAAAATTAAACCAGGTATTCGCTAATTTCGGTGGAACTCCTAAAATAAATACTCCAGCAATAGCAGTTAATGTCTGACCTAAAAATAATAACCAAAACCCGGATGCTTCAAAAGAGCCTAAAAATCTCAAGAAGGTTCCAAGCGCATTTAAAAATGCACCGATAAGAACTCCTTGGCGTAAGCCCCATTTATCAAATATCTTGAGGACGGGTAATAATAATATAGGGTATACGACCATATACACGGTCGCTAAAGCGTTTATATAAGATGGTGTTATTTGGTTATAATGAGCCATGAAAATATAAAGACATGGTCCAAAAGTAATCCAAAGAACCGCATTAGAAAAAGAAAGGAATGAAAATGATGCTAAAACAATCCATTTTCGTTTTGATTTTATATTATTAGTAGATACTGTTCTTGATTCTTGAGTATTTGTAGGCGACATCAATAAAGAATTACTAGACGTTTTTTCGACTACTACTTCAAGATCACCAGGATTTTCTCCAACTCTTTCAAAATCATGGTTATTATTAAGTCGTGAAGTTGAATTAACATTTGTTACTATCGAGGACGAAGCCGTCATTCTAACAAAAGATAAATTGTAAAAAATAAAAATTTTAAAAACCACAAATTTATTAATTTATGTTGTGTGACAAATCGGCAAACAATCGTCGCAAATAGTAAACAAGCGTATGTTTGGTGCAATGTTTAATCGTAATAATGGTGATTCCCCCAATTTAGGTCTAATTGCATAATACAATTAATGTAGTGAAATTCCTTAATATACACAATCTGCCAAATAATGTCACAAACACGTGGGGACTAGCTCAATTTATAAGTTGAATAAAATTTTTCTAATCAAAGCTTATTTCTGTTTCTATGAAAAATGTCAAACATAGTTCCTTCTAATGAACCAAATAACACTTCTTCTTCTTCAGAAACTTCAATTTCTTCACCAATAACTTCGACTTCCACTGAACATAAACCAGCTTTGCGTAGAAATCGCCCTGGAACCAAACTCGAAGTAAATAAATAAAACTTTAGATAAATGTTAAAGAACCTTCGCAATATTAAAATTTGTACTGAACAGGTATACAATTTTATAGGATGCTTATCAATTTCCTCACATTTCACTAGATCAGATTGACTCTGCTTTTGCATTACAAGAGTATTTACAGTCTCTGATAAGAGCTAACCGAGAAAACATAGACGCTTTGGTGGAGTTACCGGCTGGACAAGATAAAGAAACTTGGCAATATGAACATTTGAGGTGATTACCAAAATCTGAGTTCAAATATTTTTAATATGATTGATAAAAATCTTTCTCTTTCTATTTAGACAATTATGTCTCGAGCTAAATTATCTCGTAATTCAACTAGAAGCCGAATGCACTAGTCAAACTTGTCCTGAGATGAAGGCTGATGATTGGCAATATCTTTGTGCAGCACATCAAGCTCCATTGAATGTATGTATGTTTGTAATTTTTTACTGATTAGATTATTTTTGTTCTAACGTTTATCTTTTCGAATATGAACATTTCAATTAATAATAGTGTTGTGCAATCGATTACATTGTTCATACGTTAGATGGAGCAACTACCCTATTGAATAGCCATAAATATTTTCCTAGCAGGTAATTTTTAAATTAATTCGCGTATATTCTGAATTTTGTTAATTTGTTTTATTATTACAGGATTTCAATTCCAGAGACATCACTTAAACATTACCAATCTATTGCAAGAAGGCTTTATCGAATATTTGCACATACATGGTTTCACCATCGAGAAATATTTGAAGCTTTTGAAGTAAGCGAGAAACTGTAATTTTTTTACTCCGTGTTGCCATAATTTTTTTTAATATCAAATTTTATTTCATAGAATGAAAACATGTTATATGCACGTTTCTTGAAGCTATCGGATCGTTACGAATTAATAGCAAAAAATCTTTTAATTATCCCGTATAATAATAATATTAATGATAATCAAGATACTCATAATAATCACAATAATGAAAGTAGCGAAATTTTTAGTCGTGACATGGAATAAATAATAGTATAACATTAAGTTATTAATAAAATGTCATTGCACATAATTATAAAACTGCCAGAAGTTACACAAACTGGAAAATCACGTGATTAATTTCACTCGTACAACTTAAATTTTTTCTTGGTTCTTATTTTCCTACTACTTTTTCTCGTCATTTCCTAAAACTATGCCGGTAAAATTGAAATTTAGTATTTATCAAGTCACTCATTAAATTTATTAAAAATTAAATGATAATGGTTTTTATCCTATAGGCATATCATTCTCAATTCAATAATAGGAGTGAATTTCGAACAATTGGTAACATGGTGTTGTTGCCTATAAAGACAAAAATAAAAGGACCAGCAACACCAGGTAACATAGAACTATTATTGTTAAATCTTTTATTTGTCTTCTGTTGATCTTATATCTGTGATACTTTTTCTTAGCACCTGCGACAGAAGACGATATTATTGATGAAGCATTAGATCTTTTTAGAGCAAATTGTTTTTTTCGAAATTTTGAGATCCAAGGCAATGCGGATAGAGTTTTAATTTATCTTATTTTATTCATTAGTGATTGTTTGAGTAGATTAGCAAAAAATCCATCTCAGAAAGATGCACTTAAAATATTGAACACTCGTGCTTTAGATCATTTTGCGCTTCCTGGAGACCCAAATTTTCCATTGAATGCTCTATACGCTGCACCTAGCAGAGGTGAAGCAGGTGTGAATTTTTTTTGACATTTATGAAAAATATTTTTATTTTATTTTTATTTTTATTTTCTAATTTTAAGTAATTTCTTATGTCTATTAGATGTTTTACGACAATATTTAACACAAGTTCGTCAAGAATTAGCAAATCGATTGGTTGAGAGAGTTTATGTTGATGGGAAGCCAAGTAAATGGTGGATGTCCTTTCAAAAAAGAAAATTCATGAATAAATCGTTGTAATATTTCTTAAAATCTTAGTTTAAATAATAAATTAATATATTTATTTATACAAAAATAATTTTCTTTAACCTAAAATATGTTTAGATGGTTTTTTACATTCTTCTTCTAATTCGGGAACGTTTATAACTTCAATTCCATTTGCTTGTAATATAGAAATTCCTTCGCATTTTACAAATTTGTCTGGTTCTTTTATACCAATTACAATTTTTTTAATTCCAGTTTCTACAATACGTTCAACACAAGGTTTATTGCCGGATAATCTTTTACTACAAGGTTCCATAGTTGTGTACATTATAGCGCCTTTTGCTTCTGTTATATCGTGCAATTTTTTTAATGCACATTCTTCTGCATGAGTATTGCCTTCTAATTCACGAGAATATCCTTTAGAAAGAATTTGCGAATCTTTTACTAATACCTATGGATAAAAGAAATATTTAGATAAATATCAGTTGTTAGTTTGAAATTCAACTTTTTTATATACTTACCGCTCCTACACAGTACGCTGTTTCAACTGGTTCTGAAAGATTTGCTTGCTCAATTGCAAGTTTCATAAAATGCAAATCATCTTTTAACAATAAAAAAAAATTAAAACAAACTATTAAAATGAATGATTTTTTTTTTTAGAAAAGAAAAAAATTTAGTACCTGAACTTGTCATTATTGAGAATGAATGATTATAGAATTACGAAATATGAACGTACTAGATCATCATGCCAATAATATGTGATCTACAATTTATGATTTACTTCTTTCAAATAGGAAGTTTTTTGCAACATGACTAGCAATTCTCCTAAACCAAGAACCATTGCAGTATTGGGTTCTCGAGCTGTCGGTAAGTTAAGATCTTTACAACTTCCTTTGCTTGGCTAACTTATTTACCTTTGTTTGTTCTTCTATGATTTTTATGAAGGTAAGTCCTCGTTGACCATTCAATTTGTGGAAAACCATTTTGTCGACTCTTATTATCCCACTATCGAAAACACGTTTAATAAAGTCATACGGTATAGAGGGCAGGAAATTGCAGCAGAAATCATTGATACTGCAGGACAGGTAATTACTTGTGCTGCTTTCACATTTTTCAAATAACTTTTTTTTGCTAAAGCACAAAAATCAACATTCAGGATGAACATTCAATTTTGAATTCCGCTCATGCGGTAGGAATTCATGGTTATATTCTGGTATATTCAGTTACATCTCGACAAAGTTTTGAAATGGTCAAAATTGTTCGAGATAAAATCCTGAATTACACAGGGACTGAATCAGTGCCAATGGTTTTAGTTGGAAACAAAACCGATTTACACTTGCAAAGGTGAACCTTCTTTACAATTCAAATCTGTTTATTTCTTCAAATTTAATTATGTTTACTTAATGTAAATTTTATTTACGAAGGCAATTATCTTATGAAGAAGGAAAAGAATTGTCTCAACAATGGGGTTGTTCTTGGATTGAGGCGTCAGCGAAGCATAATGAAAATATAAGTATGTTATTTATTACTTAGACTATGGTTTTATTTTCAATTTTTTTTTTTATAAATTTCACTCATTATATTGTTTAATAATAGCTAAAATTTTTGAACTCATGATAAGTGAAATTGAAAAGTCACTAAACCCCAATGGAGAAGAAAGTGGTGGATGTATTATTCTCTGATTTTTAAAATTCTTACTAGAATTCGCATAAATTCACTTTGGTATGAATACTTTATTTTCCTTTTTAATGATTCTTATGGTTATCTTATTTATTAAACTATTTTTATATTAAAATATAGATATTGTATTATTATTATATTATTATTGAATTATATATCTAGTTACTTTTTAATATATTTTATTAGGTGGCTGCAGGGTAAGGCTTATTATTATGGTGGGTTTATAATGTGAATAAAATGTTTAAAAAGTATGTGAACATAGATAGATGAAACCAAATTGATTGAGAAATTTTTTTAATTAATAAAATTAATCATTTTTGTACTTTATATGCATGTACAATAATTATAGTAGCAACTTTATTACCAATAAAAAACCAGAAATTTCTTAATAGATCACCTAATTAAATAACTTGTCATTCACGTGTTACTTTCTTGAATGTGGCTTACACGTGAATGGCTTGGCGTATAAATTTGATTTCTTTCCCACAAGCAGAAAATATTTACTACAAGAATTAGCAAATCGATCGGTGAGAAATGTTATGTTGATAGAAATCAAAATGTTGGGTGCTTTAAAAAAGATTTATGATATCATTTAGAATCTTCGTTTATTTAAATTTAAAATTTTAGATTTTACATAATTTTATCCTTCCGCATGATTATTACCTTCTAAATCAAAAGAGTATGAATCTATGGATAAAAAAATTAATGAACAAATTCGAATTTCGTTAATTTCGTTACGTACGGATTCTACACGGTATATGATTATCCCGATATAATTGATTTACAGCTTTATGCATTATTTGCTTTATCTTTTATGAAATTGACATAAATTTGTGGAAACCACTCTTATCTCTCTCTCTACCGAATACACGCTGTATGGATATATAGGACAGAAAATTGCAGCAAAAAATTATTGATACCGCGGGACAGGTAATCTCAAAGTTTCTTTCATATTGTTTAAATAACTTTTCTTTGTTAAAACACGAATCAAGATTGAACATTCAATTTGAAATTTACCCATACGATAGGAGTTCATGGTTTTATTTTAGTATATTCAGTTACATCTCGATAGTCATCTCTGAAATGATCAAAATTACTAAGGAGGTGAATCCAATACATGGGGACTGAATAAGTTAGTTTAAGTCAGTTTAAGTCAGTTTCAATGATTTTAGTTGAGGATAAAGCAGACTTTATACATGCAGAGGAGTGAGAGGACAGAGGAAAACCTTTCTTTGGCAATTAAATATCATTTATTACAAGGTTAACTAGGTTAACTTAATTTTATTTATGAAGGTAATTATATCTTAAGAAGGAGGAAATTAATTATTTCAGCAATGATATTCAATGTTTTGGATCGTAGCATCAGCGGAGTATAATAAAAAATATAAGTATCTAAAATTGTGATTTTTTCAAAGAAATCTGATTTATATAAAATTCTGATATCTAAAATTCGCATAACTTGGGTGATTAGTCCACAAACTAAGGTTTATTGTTTAACAGATGAGAGTACGATTAAGTTGTTAAAGGTGAAATCGAATTGAAATAATCCGATTGGGAAACTTTTCAATTAATAAAATAAAATGCATGCTATAATGTTTGTGCTTATGTGCACGTAATTAGCTTTCGTTGCAACTTTATTATCTTTTGATTTGTTTATTTCTTAGGTAACATCGGAAAATTTCAAGCTGTTATTAGTACGAAATTATGATAATAAACTCGTCAATTCACGTGTTACTTTGTACTTTGTGGCTTGCATGTGAACTTCGCCGTGGCTTGGCATATAAGAATCAGAAATTTTTTACAATTAATGTCATCATTTTAGATTTAGGTCGGAGTTACAGGAATTACGTTGTAAAACATAGAAAATTCGTTGCCACAAGCTATACTTTTCGCTCTTTTCAGTTCTCTTTATTTATTATCATTGTTAATAAAAGAATATTAATATATAAAACCTTAGATTAAAACCGAAGATATTTTTTATATTATAAATAACGGAATAAGACGAAGTTTTCCTACATGGCTACGTCTAATTCACAAACGTTAGTATGTCTTTATGAGCAGTTTCTTGTATAACGCATAATACTAAATGCTTAATTCTTGGTCTTTTTCTTTTCTCTTTTGGTTTTTGCGTTAAATCTTTTGTGAATTGACATAAATGTTTAAATCACAGAAAGACAATACGTTTAACAGGTATGTGTTGTTTTTTATTGTCTTTCTCTTGTTCCTGATGGGGAAACTCTTACCGTATTTTATTTTAATTTTTTTTATATTTGTAGTCATTGCAGCAGATGGTCTATATAAGAGAGATGTCTTTCGTATGTAGTTCCGCTACATTTCTTCTTTACTTATGTTGCTTTGTAAATTATTTTAAGTCTTAATTATTTTTGTCTTGATAGGACTACCCGATCCTTTTGCAGTAGTTACTGTTGACGGTGAACAAACACATACTACTTCTGTTATAAAAAAGACTTTAAATCCATATTGGAACGAGAGCTTTGATGTGTGCGTGTTATAATTTCAAGCTATTCATTAATGAATAATTAAATATTCATAAATAATATTTCGTTTTGATTCATTTTATTATTACAGACAAGTAACAAATCAAAGTGTCATAGCTGTTCAAATTTTTGACCAGAAAAAATTTAAAAAGAAAGATCAAGGATTTTTGGGTGTAATTAATGTTCAAGTTGGTGATGTGATTGACGTTAATTCTGCAGGAGGAGATGGTAAAAAAGCTCATTAATTGTGATTATTTTCCAGGTCATGTTTGATCTAATTTTTTCAATAATTTTTTGGTACTTATTTATTTAATTATCAATCATAGAAATGTTGACAAAAGATTTGAAAAAATCAAACGCAAATGAAGTTGTGCATGGTAAACTCATTATTAACCTAACCACAAATGTGAGTGCACCACCTAACCATCCTGGTTCACTTGGTAATATGAGAGCTTCAACAAGTCAGGAAAGAGGTGCCTCTTCAACGTCAGGACCAGGACCAAGAGAAGATGGTTCGTCAGTACCAATCAGTGCACAAAATGGTGCAGGACCTTCAGGTACTACTAATGGGGCTGCTGTAAACGGTAATAGCCGACCATTCAGTTCCTTTGAAGATCAACATGGACCATTACCACCTGGGTAATTAAAATAAATTTTTTATTTTTTACTTTTATAAAAAAAAAAAAAATAAATAAATAATTATCTAAAATTCGATAAGCTAATTAATTGTTAATATTGTAGTTGGGAACGTCGGGTTGATCATCTTGGACGTACATATTATGTCGATCATAATACTCGCACTACAACTTGGACAAGACCATCAATAAATGCAACTTCAGCTCAACGATTACAAGAGCAACAAAATATCACAGAATTAGAACGTCGTCGTCATAATAATCGTACACTTCCTGAAGGAGAACGGCCAACAGGTCCTTCTTCTGCGCAAAGCGCTTCATCTACTTCAATTTCAAATTCAACTTCAGAAGCTTCTACAAGCACTACCCCCACCACAACAAATGGATTAACAGTTGGTCAGGGAGCTACAACTGCTGGATATGGTCCTTTACCTTCCGGTTGGGGTAAGTAATTGCAATTATTTGCAATTATAATTTATTATGAGCGATTAGCAAATATTTGAAATTAATATTTTGTTTTGTTTTAAGAACAAAGAACAACACCTGAAGGAAGACCATATTTCGTTGATCATAATACCAGAACTACAACGTGGGTTGACCCTCGCAGACAACAATACATTAGAATGTTTGGAGGCGGCGCCAGTGCTGGTGTCACTATTCAACAACAACCCGTGTCTCAACTTGGTCCATTACCATCCGGATGGGAAATGCGTTTAACGAGCACTGCCAGAGTATACTTTGTAGATCATAATACAAAGACAACTACATGGGATGATCCTCGATTGCCTAGTAGTTTAGAGTATGTAAAATTATATGTAATTTAGTTTAGGATAAACGATTAACTAATTTTCTATTTAATTTTCATTCTATAAAGTCAAAATGTTCCCCAATATAAGAGGGATTTCCGTAGAAAACTTATTTATTTCAGATCTCAGCCTGCCCTTCGCCCTGTTCCAGGTCAATGTCATATTAAAGTCCGACGTAATCGTATTTTTGAAGATGCTTACATAGAAATTATGAAACAACAACCACAGGATTTGAAGAAACGACTGATGATTAAATTTGATGGAGAAGATGGGTTGGATTATGGTGGTTTATCCAGAGAGTTCTTCTTCTTGCTGTCTCATGAAATGTTCAATCCTTTCTATTGTCTTTTTGAATATTCGGCACATGATAATTATACTCTTCAAATAAATCCTCACTCGGGAATTAATCCTGAACATCTGAATTACTTTGAATTTATTGGAAGAGTTGTCGGTCTTGCTATTTTCCATCGACGATTTTTAGATGCTTTCTTTATTACTTCATTTTACAAAATGATTTTGAAGAAAAAAGTTGGTTTACAAGACATGGAAAGTGTTGATGCAGATTTCTTTAGAAGTTTGACTTGGGCTTTGTACGTATATCTAATAACATACTTTAATATAAATTTTATAAACTTACTTAAATTAATTCTGATATTATAGGGAAAACGACATCACTGATGTGTTAGATTTGACATTTTCAACAGAAGATGATCGCTTCGGTGAGGTAGTAACTGTTGATTTAATAGAAGACGGTCGGAATAAAGCAGTTACAGAAGACAACAAAAAAGATTATATTGAGTACGTGAAGAAATTTTATAAATAAATTAATAAATTTTAATAAATTTACTTATGTTATTTTATATAATTTATTAGATATATTACGGAATGGCGTATTTCCAAACGTGTTGAGGAACAATTCAAATCATTCATGAAAGGGTTTAATCAACTTATACCACAAGAATTAATTGCTGTTTTCGATGAACGTGAATTAGAGGTTAGAAATTAAATTAGCAATTCAACATATTGGTTTTGTTGTTTGTGGTTTATTAAATTAATTTATGTTACTTAAAATAAATTCAACTTCTATCACTACAGTTATTAATTGGCGGTATCGCAGAAATCGATGTTGATGATTGGAAGAAACACACTGATTACAGAGGGTACACTGAGTCCGACGAAGTTATAGTGTGGTTCTGGAAAGTAAGTGTTCATAATAGTACACACATGTATATATGTATAAATCTTTTTTTTTATTTAGCTTGGCAAATTAATATTTTTATAGTGCGTCCGATCATGGGATTCTGAAAAGAAATCTCGATTATTACAATTTACTACTGGAACATCTCGTATTCCTGTGAATGGTTTCAAGGATTTACAAGGAAGTGATGGTCCAAGACGATTTACCATTGAAAAAGCAGGAGAAGTTACCCAACTTCCAAAAAGTCATACTTGGTGTGTATAATAATAATAATTTAATAGGGATAAATTTTAATTGATTTAATTTAGGATTCATACTAATTTTTTTTTTTAAAAAAAACTTTTAAAGCTTTAACCGAATCGACTTGCCTCCATATAAAACTTATGAAGCGTAAGTGATTATTTGGTTTTTTTCGCTTTTATTAATTTTTATTGTTGTAAAATGCTAATTTATATTTTAAAATTGACTCATTTTAATATACTATAGATTGGTATCTAAATTAACATTAGCAGTAGAAGAAACTGTAGGGTTTGGACAAGAATAAAGAACTAATTTATTACTTAGTTTATTGTTATCATGATGTAGATATTATTTTCCTGGGATTAAACTGGACTCTTGTGATTTTATTATTTGTAGTTATTTTAATTTATTGGTTTATTTCTGCAAACCTTCAAACACAACAACATTGAACATTTAAAATTCTATTTGGGCTTTAGTGTTTAAATGATATTATTAGCAGTATCCATTAATAACTTAACTATTTTCGATTTTATATTTCTCATTTTATTGTATTTTCATTTCATTTTTTTTATATATATACTTTTTATTTGTTTTCTAGAGAATTGTGTTAACTACTATTACAAAAAATCTTTATTTCATATATATATATTTTGAAAAGATTATTGATTACAGATTTACAGTTAATAATACATGTTTGAATATGTATAATGTTTAGTACTATTTTACTTTACTAAAAAAATTATTTATATTTTTTATTAACAAGAAATCTTGTTATAAAGTGAATTTTTTATATTGTTTATTAATATATTTAAATAATTTTTTTTTTTTTTTTTTGAATTATTTGATTATAAATAAACAAGTTTCTTAAATAGGGAGAAAACATATAATTTATGAAATTTGCATACTTATATATCTAGCTTTCATTAACTCTTCAATCCAACCCATATTACCACAAGCCATTACCCTTTTCATATTCTCACTATCTCTAATTTCATCCCACCTTGTTACTGCATATTCTAGTGCGGCTTCTTTTAAGCGGGTATCACCAACTTCCCATGCTAACAGTAATATTTCATCCCAATTATCACTATTTACCATATCCGCAATCCGTTCGGCTACCATTTCACCGAATCTTTCTAAATTTAACATATCAGCTTTTGAATAAACATCTTTTAATACATCAAATTCTAATCTAACTTCTAATTTGCCCGTGTAAAGGTAATATAATATAGAACGAAAAGTAGTATATTCCATATGTTTTATAGGTATTGTTTTCATTTGTCCTTCTTTCCATTTATCACCCAATAATTTTTCAAAATAAGATGATCTCGTCGCAAGAATTATTCGATGTGCTTTTATAACTGATCCACAATCAAAAGTGAATTCTACGTCACTAAACTTTCCATCATCTAGATGCTGTTTAAAGGAAGGGAATTCAGATTCAATTTGTTCTATAGGTTCATCTGAAGTATCATCAGTTGTGGTCGTATTAAAAACATGAACTTTTACAAGCAAATCAATATCTGCACTTGTATCACTATTTGGAAATAAATTTTCAAATGAACAAAAACGATGACGACCAAAATCATCTAAACCATCAAATTCGAATTTCATAGTAAACGTCTCATTTCGAATGAGAGTAGGAATTGATGAAGAAAATGGTGTTGAATTAGGATCCGATGTTAGACGATATACTTCTAACTTAAAAGTTTTATCTCGAAATGTTATATTTGTTTCTTTTTCGTAAGGAGTTTGTATAGCTACCAAATATAAAGATATATGGCCTTTTGCTGCTTCATTTACGCCGTTAGGATATAGCTTTATACGCCATAAGTATGGATGATCGTTTTGTTTGTTTTTTGTTGGAGAAAAATCAGTCGTTAACGGAGGTCGTGGTGACCAGAATCTGTCACTTAAAACAAAACCGGCATTGGGGTAAAACGTAACGAGTTCATTAAAACTTCTGATCGTCCAAGAATAAGTGAAGTGATCCTGAGCATGTTTCGAAGGTTGTCGCGTTGCCTGGTCTGTATTCATATCACGGATTTCGTTACCTCTGGCAAGAGCCGATCCGCTTTCCCTGTTAAGTCGTGACCGCGAACGGATAAACCGTTTTCTAAGGAGTTATATAGAGTCATTAGAGAAAAAAAAAATTAAATCATAAATAATCTAGAACAAGATAAAAACAATTTGTGTTCATAAAAACAAAGATCCTAAAATAACATCAGGTTTGAAGTAATAAAAAAAGCAAGTTTTTAATAAGAAAAAAAAAAGGAAAAGAAATGAATGAATAAAAAAAAAATTTTTTTTTACATACAAAGAAAATTTGTTTGGCATCAAGAAGCTACTCGCGGGTACGGGAAAGAAAGAAACATAAAAGAAATTATTTTGTGAAAAATGATGACGTGAAAACAATATGAACTCATGTCAACACTTCCATACAAGACTAATATAAAAAGCCTCCCTACATGCAAATATATCGTTTTTGATCAAGGAGACGATGCTTTTTAAGTTGGTTGTACAATGATTACGAAAAGAGGTATATTACATACACGGTAAAAACAAAAATATTTCGACTTTTTATTCCTCAAAAAACCGATATCAATTTTTTTTTCTGGTTTTTTTTTAGTCTATTATGTATGCTAAAAAATTTTCTTTCGTTAAAAAACAAATATTAATATCATAAGACTGTTCATAAAAGATGTTTGGGGTTTGGTTTTTCCGAAATTCTGTAACAGGTTACTTTTATTATCTTGGCGAGTTAAGAATTCTGCTAATCAACCAAATTTTTTTTTCTCTTAACAATAATGCTATATAATCAATCCTATATAATCTATTCGTCTCTTAATCAAAAACGGTAGTCTTGCGCCCTACATGACTACATAGTGACTATAATACATTGTACTTTCCTATTAACTTCAAGCCACAATGCATCACACTGCATGGCTTTGTATGTTTACTTTTAACCGATCTAAAAAGACTTGAAACTCGTATCACAAATTTGTTTCACCAGACATTGTACAAATTAACAAATACTATATATAAATACCCTAATTTGTAATTATTTATATTTATATCTGATATATATTTCTTCTGCACAAAACAACAACGGATTAGCTGGACTCTTCCGTTTTTACATAATTTGTTTGTATAGTTTACATAGTTTACATTTATAAGAACAAAATGCCAACTGTAAGAATAGGGCCAAGTTATACTTCCCTTCAACGATACAATGTAAATGATGATAAATATCCTTTATTCGTCAATTCCTCTCATTTTACCGGATATATAACAGTAAGGCTGCAGGATCATCATTACAAAAACGATTTAGTTAAAAAAACTTGTCCCTATTTTGAAAACCATCGGAGATTTTTTTCTTTTCAATTTCAAGGACGTTTTAAACCAACGAATCCTAACAGGGATGATCATTTATGGACCTTTGACGATGTAATGTTTTGCGCGGAAACTGAATCAAGTGTTAAGCCTCCAATGGGATCTAAATTTGCTGTTCAATTCGCAAAATTTATTGATCCTGGTTTTAACGCTGATGAAATTTTTAAGAAGAAGAGGCCTTGGGCTGGTAGTTGGGTTATTTGTGGAATGAATATTGTGAAAGTTTGGAAAGCTGATTCCAATAATCAGTCATTTGATGAAAAAAGTGGTAAAATTACAAGTGATTCGAAACCAGCTCCGACTTTTAATAATCCTTCTCCATCTTTGTTACCTATTGAACCATGGGTTTACTATGGCAAACATCATCTCGAAGAGGATACCAAACTCATCTTTCCCGATAAAAATCTAAATGCCTCGGAGCGTCGTAAATATTTCCTTGCCCCTTCCGTTCGTCAATCTTATGTCTTTGATCCTTCTCATATTTATAGTTGTGATTTTTTTAACAACTTTACTAACTTTTCTACGATGAATGCAGATATGATCATTAAATTTAGTATGTCTAAAGTATTAAACAATCAACCAATTAGATTTGTTTGTAGAACCAAAGATGGAGATGCTATTTTTTTTGTCATAGAAATTGATTATTCTGATCTTTTAGAGTAACAATTATGAAAATTTCATGTGGGTCAGTGATTTATATTTTTTATAGAGTGTGGGTTTTTGATATTTTTTTATTTTATATTGAATAACATTATCAGTATTAGTTGATCATATCTTCAATAATATCCAGTAAAATTTCATTTCTAGTAATTTAATTCGTTATCTTTTCTTTTCTTATTTTGTTTATTATATTCAATTACATTCTCTGATGCATTCTTGTCAACTTTAGAAGAAAAATAGTCCTCTAAAAATATAGTAGCCAAATTCTTTACACAAACGCTATCGCATTGTAATAATTTAATGATTTCTTCCTTAACATGTTCCGTTAGAATAACTAACAAATCAAAACAATATATATCAATTAAAATATAAAATTTTACAATTGAAAGTGTAGAATTACTTACATTGTTCACTTTTTGGTGTTATCAAGAAAATTAATGTTGTTATTGCTGACAATTGTGTATTTAAATTTTCGTTGGATAAACAATCAATTATCATTGGAATTCCACCATTGTCAATTATATGCTCTTTATTTCGAGTCTCTAAGGATAAGTAAATATACGTTAAAAAATGTACAATAATAAAATTTTTTTGTTTATTAATTACCTAAACATAAATTGCATAGTCCACCTAAACCAAATTCCTTTAATTTTTCATCAGGCTCACTTAAAGTATCTAAAACAAATTTTTTATTTGGTTATAAATCGTTATAACTCAAAATATGATGACTTGAAAAAGATATACTGACCGAGAAATAAATCTACTACATTTAATTGCAAAAGCCAATCATAGTTAATAGGATCGTATGCGAAATTAGCTAAATTTGCTAATACTTGATATTTAGCCTCTGGAAAAAGAAAATATTAACACAAAAAAATTGACGAAATTAACAATAACTTTTTAGAATTACCTTGATCATTTGTATTCTGATACTCATTAACAAGTTCTTCAAGATATTCAAATCTATAAAATAATATTTTCTTAATTAAATATATTTTTAAATTTAAATTTCTTTAATTAATACCTTGGAGTTCCAGATTTACCCGTTCTTCTTTCAAGCTGGCGACGCGTTGAAAACATTATTATTCAACAAGGGAGATAAGATTGAGTTTATATTAGTTACACTAGATCGATTAGTATTACAAATCACATTTTGCTAGTTTTTAGTTTTCTATATATATACACACCTCACTGAGTAGAATATACTTACATACACAACTAGAATTCTTGTAAACATGTCTTTCACGCAAGTTTTACCTGGAAGTAAGGTTCTCTTGATCAACACGTCTCATTCAGATTCTTTTAAAATTAATGACACTAAAGGGCAATTGATGCAAAAGGTCACTGAAAATGGCCTTGTCGTCGATGAAACTTTAGATCGAGTGGTTCATGGTTTGTTTTAAAGCTTAGTTTTTATTTTTGTATTAATTTCAAATTATTAATTTTATTAATCTTTTATTTTAGGCGATCTTCCAAACTCTACATACAATTATATTTATACTAATCTTTATGGTTCCTTGGCTTTTGCTCACAATACCACAACACTTTCTAAATTGGCTTCAATATTAGTACCTGGAGGTACTCTTTGTCTTAGAGAGCCCGTTTTACTTGCTCCAAGATCTTCTACTGATATTCCGATCATTCGCACTAGTGAAAGTTTAGTCAGTGAACTTAAATTAGCTGGTTTCGTTGACATAGAAATCAGAGGTACTACTGAAGTTGAATTAAATGATTTATTTAATACTATGGAACAAGTTTGGGGAATTAAAGATGAAAATAAAAAACAAGAACTAGCTCAGTCATTAAAGGGACAGTTAAATTTGGTAGAAGTTGTAGTTAAAAAACCAGTTTATGAGATCGGTGCTTCATTTACTTTACCGTTTGCCAAAAAAGTTCAAAATGGTATGTAGCAATTATTTCGATTTATCCACAAAAAAAAAATTTAATACGATATTTTGTTTAATAGTCAATGGCACTGCAAATAAAGTTTCTGTTTGGTCTCTTTCTGTTGATGACGATGATGAATTAGAGGACGAAAATAATTTACTAGACGAAAGTGACTTGATTAAACCTGATAAGAGCACTTTAATTCGTAAGTGTCATGAAAGAAAATTATTATCAACTATTTTAGTATGTTTACGTATTAAATTTGTAATTATAGGACCTGACTGTGAAACTAGTGGAAAACGAAAAGCTTGCAAGAATTGTTCATGCGGGTTTGCGGAGGAATTAGAAAAAGAAAGTAAAGCAGCTGCGCCAACTTCATCTTGTGGAAGTGTATGTATTTTAATGTGTTTACTTTTTATTTAAGCCTAAAAATAGATTAATAAATCTTTATTTAAATTTAGTGTTATCTTGGAGATGCATTCAGATGTTCGACATGTCCATATCTTGGAATGCCAGCTTTTGCTCCTGGAGAGAAAGTTGTCCTTGGAGGAAACATGATGCAAGATGATATTGAAGCTTAAGTTATGTAGTGACTTTAGAAAAAAAAAGTAATGTATTTATAATAGATAGCTTTATATTATTGTTTGAATATCGACATTAATAATAACATAATAAATCTTATTCAATGAGGGACAATCCTTTATATAACACTATTATAGAAAATTTCAATTGCATATTAAAGGCAATTTCTATTATTATAAAATTTCTAGTACATATAACATCTAATTCACATTATACATAATACATGTTTAAATAACACAAGTATATCTAACAATTTAATAATTTCCAGAAGCAACTTTTTTAATATTTAAAGTTAAACAGATAGCCATGACGCATAATCCATAAAAAGCCAAAAAAGTTGCTAATATTTTCTTTTTGTCCCATGGATCATTTTCATGAATTTTGTAATAAAATATTCCTGGTAATATAAAAGAAATTGTGGTAGATCCTGTTGATCCTACAAATGCAAGGACCTATTTATAAAAAAAACAATAATTTATTAATTTATAATTTCTTTATGGATTTATGATATGTTATTACTTACCAAATCTAATTTTGATACAAGGATCGCAATAATATAACTTGATATTAAAATACCAGTAGTTAATATTATAAACTTAATATTTGACATGTCTAGAGAAGAAAGCTTACTATAACCATTTCTAGAAGGTGATGCGAATGAAAATATTTTATCTAAACAAGCACGAGCTGGATGTGCTTGTAACGGATAAGAGAAAAGTATCAATATTACAAATGCTACTCGGCCAATTGTAACAAAAACGCTTGTTTCGTCTTTTTTTTTTTTTTAAAAAAAAAAAAGTGAATTAGTTATTCTGCAAAGGAATTTAAGGTAGGCTTTTAATAAAATACTTACACATTGAAATGACATTAGGTAAAACATCATCACCAAAGCTCAGATATCCCAATAGTCCAATGATTTGATAAACTGTAGCCGTAGTACCGATTGCACTAAAAATTACTCTGTTGATGCTTGCTTGGCTATTATCTATATGTTCGTTATAAATGGAAAATACCTAAAAAAACTTCAATATTATTAACGAATACAAAAACACAAAAATTCACAAATTATTACTCACATTTTGATGACACGTAAAAGCGAATATGAAAATCGGTAAATTTGTAAAGAATTTCGTTGAAAATTTTATATAATGCAATTTTTCTTTTGGAGGAGCCTTATAATCAGGTCCAAAATAATGATAAATAACAATAAATACCAAATAAACTACAGCAATTAATGCAATAAAACTAGTATGTCTTAAAGAATCAAGTCTCTTTAAAAAGGCCAAAGGTATAATAACAAACATAAAAATAGTTATCCAAAATCGTCGATCCATAAGTAGAGAATATTCATCAGCAAACTTATCACCCAAGGAACCGCTTATCACTTGTGGCATCAAATCACCAACAATGATTAAATATGAAACGGCAACTCCGAAACACTTTATGGCAATTGCAGCATCGAATAATAAAGCAGCTGATGGGTATGTTAACTTTGATACGGCAAAAAATGAGGAATTACGTCCATATGTGTGTGAAGCACTACGGGATAAAAAATATAATCCAAGCCCAGAAGTGATAGCTGCATAAACTATCATCATACTACCCATTAAAAGTCCAACTGATGCTACGGCTGCTGGCTTATAAAGGAAAAGAATTTAACAGGGGTCGTAATAATCACATACAGAAATACATCGTAACTAAAAAAAATAAGTACCATGGCCAACATGCCTGTTCCAAGAATAGTGTTGGCAAGATTTACCTATTTCATTTTTTTAAAAAAAACGTACAAAAACCAATAAAACAAAGGGAATTTACTGACCCTCTCCACATAAAATATCATTATTTTTAACCTACCGTACAAGATAAATAATTGGCAGTCCCGGTTAATTCATCTTCGCAATCGCTTTCAACTTCGACATCTATACTTTCACCTAATAAAGGTGACTGATCTATATGGTCATTATTCTGATCATTTCCGAATATAGCACTGCTTGTTGAAGGAGTTTCTTCTTCGATAGATATCGATGACATTTTAGGTCGCGATCAAATTATTAAAAATCGAGAATAAATAACAGAAAACCTATCCTTAAAAGGCTAGGTAAAAGCCTAGTCCTATTCACACAGTTTTATACGGGATCAGCGGATGTGTTTGATGATGCGTTTGATGAGTGTTATGAGTTATTTGATGTGTAAATGCATGCAAGAACAAAATAGGAAATAGTTAATTAACTAAATTAAACAAAAACGGCAGGGTTTGTAGGGTTCATTAATTCCTCGTGGTTTCATTTATTGTCACACACTTCTTTCATGTTAACAAACAACAAAAATTATATATATATATATTGTCCTCGGGCGTTATATAAAAATTTTTACTTTTATATCGCATAGAATACATAGAATGCAAATTTCATGGCTTTTAAAAGTGCATTAACGAAATTTCAAAATAATAGTTGGAAAACTACCAACATTTATAATAATTCATATCGTGAGAAAGAAGTCGTTCAAACTCCTAACAAAGACGCAATGTCTCAAATGGCTTTATTTGGAACTCGTAAAAACGTGGAACTCTTTACAAGAGAAAATAGTGTTAATCAAAGCATTCATACTTCTCTATCTAAAGACGTAAAAATTAATCCTTCAAAAATAGAAAAAGTACATTCACCGATAAACCTTGAGTTTGACCTTTTGCAATATAAAAAGCATGAAAGAGATGATAGTTCTTCGGATTCAAGTTTACAAATTATTTCATCGGATAATTCGGTTAGTTCTACTAGTACACGTATTACAACTCCGGTCGATGATTTAGATTCTAAATTTGATTATATGAAAGCTGGACTTTCCCTATCAAACAGTGATACTAAAACTTCCCTTAATGATTTTCAAATAAATGATTATGAGGCTTTCATAACAAAACTTGAAAAACAACATCAACAGCACAAAGAAGAACTTGAACAATTACGAAAAGAACATAAAACTCAATTAGATAAAACAAAATTGGATTATGAAAAGTCAAAAAATGATCATAAACAGGAATTTGAAAAAATAATACAAGAACTTAAAAATAGTATGGAGAATATGAAAAAAGAAAGTGGTTCAGAAATGGATCTATTAAGAACAAAATTGATGAATCAAAATAAAGACAATGAGGAAAAAATAAAAAATGAATTATCTGTTCAATATGAATCTCAAAAAGAAGAATTAATGAGACTTCATGATGCAGAAAAAAATAAATTAATAGCGGGATTAAAGACAATGAAAAGATACAAAGAAAAAGCTGAAGATGAGTTAATGGAGAGTAAAAATAATTTTCAAGTTGAAATGCAGTCCAATAGGAAAGAATGTGAGAAAGAAATAGAAATACTTCGTCGTGAACATGCAGGACAATTAGATTCAATGATAAGAGGAGAAACAAAAATAACTTTTGCGCAAATAAAAGATCAACAAGATCGGAGAATAATTGACAGAGAGAGGGAACTACGGAATCAGATCGATGGACTTATGCGTGAATTGGGTGAAAAAAAAGCCGCTGAAGTTTCTTGGGTTAATTACAAGCGAGAAAAAGAATCTGCATTGTTAGATTTAAAAACTCAATTATATTCATTGGAAACTGCAAATAAACAAAAAGATACTCAAATAGTTGAATTACAGGAGGAATGTGCTCGTTCATTACGAGAAATAAAAGATCTTAATAGAGATAAAGAAAAAACTAGTAACATGATAAAAGAATTCCAACAAAAAACTGAAGAAGTAATTAAAGGACAATTGAATGCTAGGATAAAAGTAGAAAAAGAATCTGGACAAATTATTGAAACACTTCGTGAACAATTAAGTGATACTAATATGGAACTATCAAACTTACGAATTCAACTATCTAATTTAGAACTGGAATTTAACGAAGCGAAAGAACATTGTGAAGATTTGGAAAGTTTGATTAAAGATAAATCTGAAATAATAAACCGACTTCAACTTCAAATTGAACGTAAACAAGCTGAAAGTAATGAATTAGAATCACAAAATTTCAATAAACTTAAAGAACAACAAGAAAAAGAACATGAACAATCATTAGCATCACTTCGTAAAAAATTGGAAACTAGTCATCAAAAAGAGTTACAAGAACTTCGTAATCAACTTGAAAAAGAATATAAAATTAAAGTAAGTGAATTAATCGATAAAAATTCAAGACTAGAGCAAAATAGTTTACAAAATTCCAAAACTGTAAAAGAATTAGAGGAAACTACTCACTATCTTGCAAATGCGGAATCTTCTTACAAGGAATTAATTGAAAAACATCAGCAATTGGTTACTAAAAATCAACAACTATCTAATGAAATTGCCGCTATTCGCTCTAAAGTGGAAGATCTTGAAGCTAATAATAGAACAGTCACCCTAGAAAAAGAAAAGATTGCAGAAAAACTGAAGAAAGCTAATGATGAAATGAGACGACTTCGGAATGAAAACACAATAGTAAACAATAAAATGATTGAATTGGAGAATGAACGTGATAAACTTGCTAATACCGTTTCTACAGTGAAAACATATTGGGAAAAAAATTATAAAGACTTACAAATTCAGTTGCAAGAAATGGAATCTCAAAGAGACAAATTGGATAATGAGTTAACAAAAATTAAATCTGATTATAATGAAAAGGTGAAAGCTTTTGAAGAGTTAACAAATAATGTAGAGATTATTGAAAAACAAAAAGTATCTCTATCAAAATTGTTGGAAGATCACCAAAATAGTATGCAAACTTTTATGAAAGAAAATGCAGCTGAACGAGAAACTTGGAATCGAAAAGAGGCCGATCTTGTTTCTAATTATGAACTTGAGCTGAGAGAAAAAGATTCAACATTAGAAGAACTTTATGATAAATTAGATCATACAAGGAAACATTCCGAAGAATTAGAAGAACTTTTACAAGAAGCTAAAGAAGCCGAAACAAACCAGTTAGAATTATCACAAAAATTAGAAGCAGCATTGCAAGAATGTGTGAATAAGGATATTGAAATTTCAAACCTTGAAATGTTTAAAAAACAGTCACAAGCTCGTATTGATAGTCTTGAGTCTTCAACAAATCGCTTAACTACGAAATTGCGTGCTTTTGAAACTGATGCTGAACAAGCAAAACGAAATGCGGATGCAAAAATAAATGACCTCCAAAACAGACTTAAAGATTCAATGACAGAGATCGAAGATTTACATAATCAAGTCTCGGATCTTAAGCATAATCTTATTGAAAAAGAAGCTATGGTATTAAATCATTCCCGTTCTTCAAGTCGCGATGGTCCCAAAAGTCCAATTATAGACACTTCTAAAATAGCTAGTCTCACGATGCAAATTGAAGAATATAAAGCTACACATCAGAATCTCGAAGCTCAGATTGCAACTCTTACCCAACAACTTCAAGAATTTCACCAAGAAAAAAACTCAACAATAACAGCATTTGAACATTCCATAACACAAGCAGAAAAAACAGTAGGTGGTCTTCGTGATAAAATTAAAACTATGGCAATTGAACACGAAGAAGAAAAGAAACAGATCTTTAAAAAACATCAATTATCAATACAAGAGCTTAACAAGCAGAAAGAAGATGAAATTGTTAAAATAACCGAATTTACACAATCACGATTGGCAGAACTTGAAAAACGTCAACGTAATATAACTACAACAAATACTACAGATCGGTTTAATAATGATGACGCGAAGAAAGTGGATATACTGGAAAAACGGTTATCAGAATTAGAGAATTCGTTAAGGGAGTCGCGTTTTGAATGTAATAAATTGAATGAAAAAATTATGAATGTGCAACAAAGGTTTGCAGATTCTATAAGTGAAAAAGATAAGGTAATGAAAGAAAGAAATGATATGGAAAAGAAAATAAAATCTATGGATGCAGAATTAAAAGAGGTGAGTTTATTCTAATATTAATAATTATTTATTCAAAATTTTACATTTATTAATATATTTATCAAACATCAGGTACTTGCCAAAAATATGGAATTAGTAACAAACATGAGCAATTATAAATAACGAAAATTGGCGGCGAAGCATTAATTTAATTGTTAACTTATTCGATTTTAATTAATTAATTTGTATTTTAATTTAGCATTTTTTTTTATTTACTACATGTATTTTAGCATCAATCATTAATTTGTGTAAATGTAAGCGTAAAGTAATAACTACATTTTTTTAGAAATTATAATTAATTCACATATTGTAAGTTTTAGATAGAGGGTTGGATTGTAAATGCTGCGAAGTGCCGCATATGATTTAAAACCGTGTAAAAATATGTATAATTAAAGTTTATAAGTTTGAAACCAAAGAACATATAGAACACATAGGAGTTTAAAATGATCAATAATCGCTTTCTCATAAAGCTTATTGAGATTCAAATATACTTTTAAATATCATTTTTAATTTCATTTTATTTAATCGCTTTTTTATGACTAATTTCATCTCTTTCTTTATGCTAAAAGACAGTTTATTTTCATTATAAAATGACAGGTCGAAATATTTTCATTTTTGTGTTATTTTCTCTTTTTTTTGGGAATTAATAAAGATTTTGTGGTATTAATAGAAGATAATAACAAAATCGTTCTACAAGAATTTGAATACCTTATGCGTGAAAATAGAGCCATGGTTCACGAGTACGTACAGATTGGTAAATATAGAACACTTGCGCACATATTAAATTTATCAATTAATAAAATTATCAGTTTGAGTAATCATCTTGCGAACTTGAATGAATTTATTTGTGATGCTGATAACAAAGTTTTTGAAGCATGGAATTCATATAAACAACTTCGGTAAGGTTAACTAAACTTTGATTATACATATTTATGTTAACGTTATTTTTTAAAGAGGTGGTTGCGAAAAAAAGATCGAAGATTGTCAAGAGAAATTGTTAAGATGGATTCAGCGAATTATTGAAAGATTGCAAGATTATAAGAATCTAGAATTACAGGAAAAGAAAGAGAAACTTGAACGTTTAGAAAGAAGAGTTTGTGAATGTATGATATTTATGTAATCATGTGAAGCTAGCGTAAAGGCGACTAATACACATTACTATTAGTGAAAACTGTAGTTGAAAAGAAAATTAATGACTCACTTATTGGATCCTTCTATATTTCGGATTGTATATCACGCTATTTATATTACATATCTTGGTTTACTTGTCAGAATATTGGTTTGAAGATTGTTTTTACTTTCTCTTATAGTATCTTTAACCATCGAGCATTACGATTGTATTGATCCAGTACTTAATACTCATGAGATGGCAGATATTTCAGAAAACACGCTTTTACATCAAGACATAGATAATTGGTAATTGATTAGTTTTTGACTTTTTGGATAAATATGAATTAACCTGATATTATCTATATACATAGGGATTTGCGTAGAAAAATATTTGAAAAAATAAAATCAAATGAGCTAAACATAGTTAAATTGAGAGGAATAATTAATCTTGTAGAAAACTAATTTAATGCAAGAATTATGTCATTATAAAATTACTCACGTGAATTCACGAGATACTTAATGCAATTGCGTTGTTGGATTGTTATTGGTCATTTTTCTTTTTAATTAATTACATGTTCCATTGATATTTTTCTGTAAACCGAATCTTATTCTTTTGTTCAATTTCGCTGGCGTTTCCGGCACATGAGATCCGCATGCCGAAATCTCGACAGTCAGCACCGCTTGCTCAGCCACCTCCACTTTATCAAACCTCTCAAACACAGACATCGAATCAATCTCTTTCGATCGCGCAACAAATTTCTCCACTGCCATTTTCTCCAACTCATCAAAGTCGTAAAGTTCCTCGAAGTCTTGATACTTCTAATAGCGATTTTTCTGAATTTCTTCTTCCACCTCAAACTGGACTTAGTTCACCTACAACAAGTACTATCCAGTCTCCTTTTAGTCCAGGTTTAACTTCTCCTTACTTTTCTCGTAGATCTTATCCTGGAACTAGTAATTTTATACTTGGCAGTCAACGTGCCTTTATACAAAGGAAAACTTTAACAGAAATACAATTTTTTACTAATACGCAATATAACCAACTCAAGTTTTTGTGTTCGAGTAGAACTATTTCACCTTACGATTCGGAGGTCTGGGGAGTAATGTTGGGTAGCGAAAAGTTTCCGACTACGAATTCTGGGTGAGTCCGCCGAAAGTTCTGTTAACGCAATTTAGCATAGTGACAGAATATTGTTTAGGTATAATCTAGTGCAATTTTCACACGGAATAAAACATCCTGTAGATGCATTGTTTTAAATGAACAGTTTGTTATCTTCCGATCTATTTCACTGGATGAAAGCTAATAAACGCGTTCTATTGATACTTGTAGTCAAGATGCATATGATGTCGAAATGGCTACTGTAAGCCTCGCAATTGAATTTGGTAAGGATTTTAATTAATACTTATTATTTAAATTAACCATTGATAATCATAATTATTTTTTCACTTTTAGCAAGCAACAATAAAAAAACTGCAAATTTTAATACTTTGCTCCTTCATACATTGAGTCAGATGCGTCGCGTAATAGATTCCGAAATTCACGGGTAATTGACGCGATTCTTTAAAATCTTTCTTAATTTTTATAAATATTTAAAAATGTTCTTTTATGTCCATTTAGAGAAATTCCAATAGAAGCATACAATTCCTTATTTCTAGTGAGAGTCTTTTCAAAACATTTTATTGGAAATTTATCGCGTGATGAAATCAATCAACAATTTGAAGGTTAGTCATTACTTGAATAAGTTGAATTCAATTAATATTAAATTGTACTAGTTTTTTCTAATTTTATATGTAATTAATTTATAGGGGATCATACCATTTTAGCAGACACACCGAAATTTAATGGGGTTGAGTCTAAGATTGATGAAAATAATCGTGTTCAAATTGATCTCAATCCCAAAAAACTTATAATTGATCCAGAAGTTATTCAAGATACTAGATCTAAAGCTGAACAACTTATGGATGGGTTATTGAAAGTTATTTTAAAGTTGGATCCAATGTACGAAAATTCTTTTAATTTATTATTAAATAAAGAAATTATAGGTTTAATTTTAATTTTATTTTACACTTATTAGTTTAAATGGTTCAACATATGAATATTATCAAGAATGTTTAAACATTCTATTGGTTTTACTTTCAACACAAATACATCAACCAAATGCAAGCCAATTAGAAAACAATTATTTTTTAAATATTTTATTAACTAATTTTGGGTAAGATTATTTATGAATATTTGAATTTTATATATACAGAATTTATGTTAATTCATATTGCATATCCAGTGATTTTGTTAATAGCTTAACTAAAAGATTAGTGACGAATTTTATTGAACAAAAGCCGTCTCCACCAGCGTCCACAAGTATGAATTTGTTTAATAAAAATTCATTTTATTTCTTTTAAATCCAGCAAATAGAATAGTTCTATTTTTAATTTTGCTGGCACAACATTTTACGTCACATGACAGGCGTTGTGTATAATGCCTATTCCTATCTTTTCCCTAGTAGATCGTCAGCAACTTTACCGTCCGATCCTCCACCAATATCAGAAAGAAGTTTGCTTGTTTTATTATTACTTTCTGTTCAGTGTCGAGCTCCAGATGAAAAAGCAAAAAGTTTTCGTGAAGGAATCCGGTCTTTAAAGGATGCACAAGGTCCTTTGGGTTTAATTTGAAGGTTACAAGCGTTATTATTTTGCTACAAAATTTCTAACTGAAATATCTTTTTACTTCTAGGAATGGGAGGGGGTGATATGGCAATATCATTCCGTGCTTTATATCAGTTGATTTGTCGGTGAGTTATTTACGTGATAGTCTAATTTTATTGTATTAGCACTGATTTAAAATATATCCACATATATTTTTTTTAAAAAATGAAATGACATCTTTTCCATGGTAGTCAGTTGCCAAATGAAGAGATTTGCTTATTATTATATTTGCTAATGATCGAAAACGAAGAGTTTAGGGTTTACGTTTTATCACGTTTAGACCCCGAAATTCTTGTTTGTATTCATTTTGTTATTTATTGCATTTCTGTAACAATTATATTTTATTCCTTCGCTTACTCCTCTCTTTATTAATTAGTTACTTCAAATTTTAAGATTACTCTATGATGGAATCGAAGGCAGAACAAATTATTCACAGATGTATATTCTGCTTACAATTCTTTTGCTATTTAGTCAGGATGAAGTTTTTAATGAAAACATTCAAAAAATCGTATCCTTTTAATATATTATTCATAAAAGCGTGTAACAAATTTAACAAAGTAATGTCATCGGAAATTTTACCTAACTAACCAAAAATTTGTTGATATTTTTTTTAAAAATTATTATTACAACTATTATGGATTAGAATACTTTGTGTTATATTTCGTATATATGTGCGCGGAGAAACAGCTTGGATGAGTTTTTGATTGATTGAATTTATCATAAGATAAAAATACGATTATTTAATATAATATATTTTTTTGGATATATAGGAGTCTCATGTAAAAAAAATAATTTCGGCTAAATACAATTAAGAATGTTCTTTAACACTTTGGATATTATTTCGAAGTTATAATTTTCGTACTGGAGATGGTTAATTAAAAATTAAAGAATAAGAAATATTATTTCCTTAATTTTAAAAAATTTTCTTTAGTCAATATCTTATCAGCCATGGTTCACAGAAAGATTGTTAAAATCCGTATCATTAGGAGGTTTAACATATTTAGTTCTTATAAGGGTTATACAGTTCAATCTCAGTTCGCATCGGGTAATGATTTTTATTTTCCATATTTTGGAAAAAATCATTGATTTTAATATCAATCTCTTTTTATAAAGGATGTGTACTTTCACAACAATTGTTTAGCAACTATGGCTAACTTGGGGAATAGCATTCAAGATATACATCCTTATGTTGCGCAAAGGCTCGTTAAGTATGTAATATTATCATTGTCCTTGTTTAAATTGAACAATAATATATATTAAAAAATCATCGTTCCCTTTGAAAGCTTGTTTGATATCGTGGCTAAACGGTATCAAAAATTACGAGAAAAAGCTCAGCAACAGGGTGAGGATGAAAATGTAAGTAATTTGAACATGGAAAATTTTATTATTCAATATGTAAAATAACCTCTTTCTTTTTTACAACATATCAATTCATAAGTCCGATGCTGTCGCAATTTACGGTGACCTTGTCTGTCTAGTCTTGGAAATAATCAATTCTGTGTTGATCCGAAGGCTAAATTCTAACCCGGAATTAATATATTCTCTATTGCATAAAAAGGATTTGTTTACCCATTTTCAATTGCACCCTCGATTTGCAGAACTAATTGCTAATATTGATAATGTAGGAAAAATATTTTTTTGATAGCTTTTGGTGAATATTTAATTGAATTAATCATTAATTACGATAGGTAATTAGTTATTTTCACGCTCGAATATCAGAAGCAAATCTTAAATCTCCATCTGCGGAAGAGATTTCAGAATTAATAGAAACTGCAGCAAGAACTTGGCCGCCAGGTAGACTTAAGGTTCGTATAAAATAATAAAATTCTAAATATTATTCTTATTTTAAACCTTTAAATTATAAAAATTCACTATGATAGGAATTTCCTGATTTGAAATTCCAATATGAAGAAGAATTAGAATCACAGGAATTCTTCTGTCCATACGTGTGGGCTTTAATATATCGTCATACTTGGATTTATTGGGATGAAAACAAAACACATATCTTAAACGATTATATTATAGTAAGTAATATCTGATAATTAATTATCTGATATGACTTTATTAATTTATCCTTATATATCATTTTTAGCATGAAGAGATGGAAGCTTCTTCCGTGCAAGTCGTATAGGGGAAGCAAATTTATTATTAAATAACTTATTTATGATAATTTAAATTATAAAAAAATAAAAGCTCATTCTAGTTTATACTTCATATAGATTTAATGCATCATCATTCATTTTAAATGTAAAAAAAATTTAGTTTTAAAATCAGATTCTTTGCACAATATTATTTATATTTGCGATAGAAATTTTTTTTTTTCTAAAAAAAAAAATAAAATAAAATAAAATAAAATATATTTTTATATATCAATATTTGAACATTGAAAAATAGAAAATTAGTTATTAAATATTATAACTAATTATCTTACATGAGTTATGAGAAATAGTACTAAATTACTGTTCATCTCCGAATTGTGTTCGACGTCGATCTTGCCATTCTGAATTGTCACGACCACCAAATCCACGGCCGCCATATTCACCGCCAAAACCAGCACGACCAACGCGACCTCTGCCGAATCGGTTTCTTCCAAAACCACTATTATTCCGAGAACCAGCAGCTTCTGCTGCACGTAGCTGTCTACCTTCAAGTTCATAACCATTAATATTTTCGATAGCTTTTTGTGCAGACTCCTCATTATCGTACTCGATAAACCCAAAACCACGAATCCTGCCTTCAATATCCAGGGGTAAACGAACAGAAGAAACTTCACCATATTTTGTACCAAGATCTCTGAGAATTTGTTCGTTACTACTCCAAGGTATATTAGCAACATATATCGTTTTACTAACATAACTTCGACGTAAAATTGAAGAAAGGTTAGTGAAAAGAGGAGACATGGTAAAAGCTGGTCGAGTTGAAGTCATAGAAGACGACCTAATTATTGTTCCAAACATTGACTTATGCATATTTCCTTAGAATAATAATTTTAATAATTTATTTTCTTTTATTTTCTTTAAAACTTTTAAATTTTTCGTGTCTCAATAAAGAAAATGAAAAAAAAAATTTTTTTGATCTATCATCTATTGCGATTATTGGATGATTAAATAAGATTCTTTTCAGATCGACAATTGATCAACTGTGTAACAGCAGATATTCACAAAACAATTCCCACGTCGACAGAATATTCATAAAACGAATTGTTTATTCTTTTGATCTTTAAAATGTTTTTCTTACAGAACGAGTTTTTTATTTCAATATATCAACGTAACTTAATGAAGAATATAACTAATATGTTTAACTGATATTAATTAAATATATTTATATAAGCACATTTTCTTTTTAGGGTTGGTATTAACACCTGAGGATGCATAATTAACAAAGCCCTTAAAGCCTAAAGCCCAACCCCTACATTTAACAATCAAAATAAAGTGTGACAAATTTTACAAAAAATTGTCCCCAAATTATGAAATTATTCATAGTGAAATAAAATTAAAGAAAACCCTTTATTTGGGGTATGCTCTAAAATTAGATCATTCCCTAATTTTACATATAATAATTACTGATGAATGGAATTTCAAAAGGTTTTCTCAAGTGGAAGATGTTTGGATACTTGATAAATTGGTATATGTCAATATCATCAAATTTGAAAATACCATTTTTTCAAGTTCCAACAATACTAAAGAATGATAAACTCTTTACAAGGAAATACTCCCCACAAAGTCATCTTTTATATTATTAATATAGCATACTTATGACTCGAACCAAACCAATTAATGACAAAATTTTTTTTTTAAAAAAAAAAAATCCGAGAAATTAATTTCTCCGTGGTTTTAGATCTTAAGGAAGTATGCTTTTTTTTCAAAAAAAAAAAAAATTTCACGATTTTATAATTGCACATTATCATCTGATTTACATATTAATTTATGTAGTACGTGTGATAAAAAAAGCATATCCATTATCATAACAAAAAAAAAGCCTCAAAGTTTAACCCCTTTTATCCTCTGCTTCCCTAAATTTTAAAAAGCGCTTTACAAAAAAAAGAATCTCAACTTTAAAATCTTATCGGGATTTTATCGTTATACTTAATTGAACGATAATCCTTTCTTAAATTTCCCAAACAGTCTGGAATAAACAAAATATCTTTCTTTAAAAAGATCTTGAAATTATTTCTTGATTTGCATAACGACATCTTGTTTCTTTTTTTTTATATACCTACAATACTAGTAAGCTTAGTCCATCTACCTTTCGATTAGCATAGTTTTCGAAATATTTTACTTACTTATCTCTTTACAAAAACTCATCACTTATAAACTTGTTTCCTTAAAATACTTTTAGTAGCAAATCAACACAAAAATGTCTTCCGCCGTTCGACCAAAACGAAGACAAGACAACGGTTATCAATCCTTCACAAACTCAAATCAAAGGTAAATTCTGTTAAAAGTCTATATTCTTTACGTTTACTTTTAATGATCTTACGCGCAGTAAAAGTATATAAAAATTTAATATCATAAACCTATTCTTTTTAGTCATAACAACCGAAATACCAAAAAATGGAACAATAATAATAATAATAGTAATAATAATAATAGTAATAATAATAATAATCAACACCCTGTTAATATGCCACAGAGAAATCAACCTATTTCTCCACAAGCACAGCCGCCTGTTAGTAATAATCATCATCATAACAACACTCCAATATCAAATAACGCTAAACCCGTCGAGCAAACGTTACATGACGAAGCTTCTGTTGAGCATATGCATGATCGACTAATGTTCCTGCTCGTAAATTTTGTTGTACGTAATTATTTTTTGTAAATTTTTTTATAATAATTGTTTTGTATATTTTTTTGTATTTTAAAATTTACTTTATTATTTTATTATTAAATATAATTTAGGGGATGAATGTTGTAGTAACGGTCAAGGGCGGAGTAAAATATCAAGGTCTATTCAAATCAGCTAGTACGAAGGCAGAATTAAGTGTTGTATTAAAAATGGCCCGAAGAGTGCTAACAAAAGCAGAGGAAAAAACCGTACAGAACCGTGTTATACCTACATATCTAATAATGGCAAAAGACTTGATGGAAATTCATGCATGCGGTGTTGATTTTACCACATGTGACGGAGATCGTGAAGGTATTTTGAGCGTTTTTTTTTTCTTTCTTTTTCTTTTTCTTTTTTTTGAGAAAAATACTGAGTTTTTTTTGTCTATCTAAAATATACCTATGTATAAATTAATTGCATACATATAATAATAGGGACAGGATTAGGAACTGGTTTTAGAACTGATTCAGATATCAGTGGTAGATCAGAGATAAGAGAACGTGAATTACATAAATGGACTCCAGATGAATCGGGAGAGTTAATGAAGGGCTTAGAATATCCTTTCTTATTTTACTAATTGCGCTTATTTATTTATTTATTTATTTATTTATTTAATCGGCTTTGGTATGAATCACTTATTATTCCTTAATTTCTTTGCACGGATGATATAAATTCAGAATCAGGAAATGCTTCTTGGGACCAATTTGCAGCAAATGAACAATTGTTTGGTATAAAGACAGATTTCAACGAAGAAATTTATACCACAAAGTTAGATCGATCTAGAGCTGACTTTAAAGAACGAGAACGCCAGGCAATCGCGATAGCAAATGAGATTACAAGGGTATTTATCGCCTCGAGGTTTGAAATTACATAATAAAATTTAACCCGTTTTTATTAAAATAGTCATCTACAACGAATGTTCACATGCTTGAGGAACGTGGCTTTATTTTAGAAGAAAACCAAATGGATGAGGAAGAAAGGTTAGAGTAACAATTATGATCAAATAGTAATAATTTAAAATAATAGAGTATTATTCTCATGCCGACCTTATTAATGTTAGATACGGAGCAGTTGTTCGAAATCGAGATCCGAACAAATATACGCCGCCTCACCTACGAAAAATACAAGAACAGCAGTTACAGAATGGTGCTCCTGTTGTCAAGAAACCAGAGCCTACTAAAGAACCTGCTAAAGAAGTTAAGATAAAATCTGCAGAAGAAACTAAACCCACAAAACAAACACAACCCCCAACAACGACTACTACTGCTACTGCTACTGCTACTGCTACTGCTACAACACCACCTGCAACAGCTACTACACAAAAAATACCTCCATTTTCTTCAAGTTCAGCGTTGCCAAACCCTGTTCCGAGGGTAAGTTATAAAACAAACGATATCAAATATAAACGAAAGTAATTTAATAAAATCGACTTTTCATTTATAGAAAGCTGGTGTTGATGCTGAGGGTAAACCTATTGAAGGTATTTTTGAATATATTTTTTTATCAGTTAAAAAGATTCTGTGCTAATTGAATTTTAATATAAAATCCTCAGATCAAATTGTCAAGACATTCCGACAATTTGCTACGAATGAAAAAGAACGTTTACAACAAAGAATGCAAGCTATAAAAAAAAAAGATATGGATGAAAAAGTGGATGAATTACGAAAATGGCGTCAAACTTTTAAGGTTTGTTTATTAAATGAATTTTTAATAAAGAGAAAATCATCATCTTCTTCATGATGATTTTTAATTTTTTATTTGTTAATTATTATAGCTTAATTTACCATTACCACAAGATCTTCTTCCCATAATGACGAAAGATAAAACCAAACAGCAACAACTTACAGCTGAATCTGCAACTGCTTTGAATGAAAAGGATAAAGATAAAGATTCAGAAAAGCAGAAAGACAAGGAGAAAGAAAAATCGGATAAAGAGAAAGAGAAAGAAAAGCAACAAGAAAAGGATAAAGATAAAGATAAAATCAAAGATAAGGATAGTAAACCTAAAGATCGAGTTATTCATACTCAAAATTTGGAACCAAAGATGAAGCCAGAAATTAAAATTGAAGAAGATAAATCACAAAAAGCGAACGGAGATTCGACAGAATCCAAATCAACAAATGATAAAATTTCTGATAAACCTGTATCCGCAGCTGACAAAGCTCCACCACAATTTCCTGGCCGAACATCTGCTGCAACTTCTAAACTCAACGCGAAGGCGAATGAATGGAAACCTAATCCTAATGCGGCAAGTTTTACACCGGTACGACTTGCCGTATCAAGTTTATTTTACTTAATTAGATTTATTAGTTTTATTTTGTAGAGTAATTATGATTTATTTTTATTTTATTATTATTATTATTATTATTTTCTCATTGTAGATTACTCCCAATACACAGGATAAAAGATCTCCTGGATCTGTATGTATTATATTTTAACGAGCATTTTTTTATACATAATATAATTAATTCACTTAACATCTGGATATAATGATTATAGTCTCCATTTTTCGTTAATCGGCAGTTAAAGAAGAATACCGCTACGCTCAAAGATGGCTTTACTCCTTTCCAAAAAGGTAAACCAATAGCTAATCCTAGTTCAATAAGTAAGTGTAGTTTTCGATCGAAATTCTATTTTGTCGCGCTTTTTATAAGTTATAACATTTATTGAAATTTCGATTTATTATAGCGCCTACCTGGCCCTTCGGCAGTAAACCTTTTAGGCATCAATTTGCTGTCACAAATAATTACGAAGAAGATATTTATGCGCAAGGTACCGTGACTCAAGGATTCGGATTCGCATATCCTGTTGGGCACTATCGTTACCCTCCAAACGCACAATTTGTTAGTGTCCCACCTATTCCAATGCAACAAGGCGCGCCTATACCATATATGCAACCAGGGGTGGGTTTAGGCAAAATTTATTAATAAATTATTGTATTTTTTAATAACTAATGAATAATTCATTATTACCTGATAGCAGTTTGTCCCAGGTATGCCTTTTACTACAGCTCCTATGCCTCCAACTGGTGCACCCCGTAAGTTTAAATCTTAAATTTGTCCGTTACAATATTAAATTAAAAATTTCTCAACCATTTTATGTTAACAGCTATGTATAGTGCACAACTTCCTTCAGTGATGCCACGTATGTATACATTTTTGTGTTGGAATTTTCGATCAATATTAATTGACATAATTGATATTTATTAATAGAACATTTCGGATCACAAGGGTATCCATCTCCCGGACGTACGCCAATGGTACCAGCTACTATGCATCCTCAAATGTACCAACCATATCAGAATCCACATGGTAAGTTCAATATTTAATTTAATATTAATAGTTTTTACTAGATTTCATAGAAATTAATATATTTTAATAGCAATGCCACCAATGATGCGATTTCCACACGACATGGTCCCACACGTCCCACCAAATGGCGTGATGATGGGTCAGAGACCTGTGATGATGGAGCCGCATTATGTACAACCTGAAGCTGCACCGATGGGTAATTATTATTTTTTACAAATTTTTTTTTAAAAAAAATCATCTAATTCGTTTCTCTGATCAAAATAAATTTTTTTACTAGAAGGTATGCCAGCTTCAGAACCAACAACGACTCAATAAAGTGAATCGTTGAATCAATAAACAATTTTGTACGTGTATAGTTTATAAAATGGGAATTTAATGAGGACAGGATTTATATATTAAATTACGAACATTTATTCCTGGTCTTCTTTATTTCTTTTTAAAATTATTCGAATTTTTTTTTTTTAATTCGAACTATTTGATGGGAACTATTTGATGGGAGCTATTTGATGGGAGCTATTTGATGGGACTCGGTAAAAAAAAAGAAAAAAAAAAAAATTATTTTTGGAAAACATTGTGAATAACTAAAAAAAAAATAATCAATTCAGGATGTACATATTTGAGGAATTTATTTTATGGATTTTTTTTTGTTTGGACAAAAAAATTTGAGCTTGGATATTTGTAAAGTTAAAAATTCCTCGTAGCATTTACATCCAATTTTGTATAGTATTGAACAACAAAAAAAAGTTAATGACGAAAAAAGTTTATGGCATATATGGCATATAACAGCCATGGACAAAAATTTTGTTTTTTTTTTGAATGAATTTTCTAATGATTTAAATATTTTAGTCTTTCTAAAGAAAAAAAAAAGATCATTTACAAGGAACATTTTATCACTGTGTACTTTGAAGGTCTAATAACTTTCATAGAATTTTTTTTTTTTTTTTTATTTTTTTTTTTTTTTTTTTTTTGTCATAAATGTAAATAATTTCAGCATGACAAAAATAGATTATTAATAGCATTAAAAGAAAATATGACATTCAAAAACAATTATTTCCTTTTGTTTCTATCAAAATTATTATTTTTGATTAATTGTTTCCTTTTTTCTTTATGATGATATCTTGAATGCTCATTACTACGAAGTTGTTCATCTTTTTCTTTATCTAGTATTTCCCATAACCAATTAGGGTACTCGTCATCGGGTAAGGCTATAGGGTCCGCACCATCTTTATAAAAATTTAATCCTTTGAGAATTGTTCCTGCAGGTACTGAAGATGGAGTCCGTTGAATTTGCTGTTGAGATTTCAAATTTGATGCTTTTAATATAAAAACTAGTCAGTAATGTAAGATTTTTACAAAAAAAACTATCGAGTTTAAAAAATAATAAAAAAACCAAAAAAAAAAAAATTTACCTGTAGAATAATTGGATGTGTAAGAAAGTAAAAAGGGACAAAACTTTTTATTATTTGCTTTATAAAAACAGGAAACTCTCAATTTACTTAGAAACTTCTTCATTTTTAAAAATTTGGTGGACGCGCTGATTTGAAATAATATACGTGTGACTTATCATGTGATATTGTCATTATAATGATATATATTAATGCTATCAAACGTATCAAACGTGTATTAACGTATTTCGTATTTAACATCTTTGAGCAATGATGTCTCAACAAACTTTGGAACACCCGGAAGCTTTGGTTTTGAATAATATGACTGTTTATCCAAATCCAACAAATCCCGATCTGAACAATACGCGCCTTTGGCTTCGCAATGCACTTGCAAATGTTCCGGTATTTTTCACCTTTTAATAATTCAGTTTACTGTCATTCCGTTTTTTTTTCTCTTGCTTTAACGATTTGAACTTTCAGTATTTGCATCAAGATCGAGTATTTCGGGACGTTGATGCTACACTGGCAGTTTTTAAAGCATTGATCCCAAAAACTGATATCTACGGTAAGTAATTAAATCGTTTACTTGATTTTTATATAACTTGAAGTTTTGAGGAGTTACGAGTTTATGTCGTGAATATAAATTCCATTGTAAGTTACTTTTCGAAGGGATTCGGGATTACAACAGAAATATACAAAAGAATTGTAGTTATTCTTTTGATTAGAATATCATAAGATCAAATTGAGATATATATGGGACCGAAGTCGTTTAATATAATTCTCACAATAGATATGTGATCTCAATTTCTTCAAGCCCACGACGATGGCACGGTTGAAGTTTTATTATGTCTTTACGGAACCATTCCAATCACGTTTAGATCGACACCATATAATATTCCCGTAGCCTTTTGGATTCCAACGGACTATCCTATGGTTCCACCGATTGCATTTGTGGTTCCAACATCTAATATGTTAGTGAAAAAATCTCAACATGTTGATGTTAGCGGTCGCTGTTCTCACCCTTACCTAGAACATTGGAATCCGCCACCACATAATGAGGTCTGTTTTAAACTGCATGTATTTCATCAAAGTTTATCATATTTTAATTTTACTGATATACTTTTTCTTTTCTTTATTTGATTATGAAAACATTAATTTTATAGGAATCCAATCTTGTTTCACTTTGTTCGCTTTTGCAAAATATATTTGGACAAAACCCACCTGTATATACTAGACCTACATCACAACCATCACTACCTGCACCTCCACCACCACCTCCATTGTTACAGCAACCTGTAAACGGAATACAACAACATTCACCTGTTCTTCGGGCATATTCTCCAACACCGCCTCCTTTACCACCTCCACCGCCATATCAACCTTCTTCAAACATGAATGTAAATAGACCGAGAAGTCATAGTTCCACTATTCCTCCCGTTCTACCAATTTCACGTTACGCAACAACGGTATTGGAAATTTCAATTTCTTTAATCACTTTGTTAGTTTTTTTTTTCATTTTTACTAAAATTAAGAAATGGGAAAAAAATTTATTACGAATAAAATGAAGTCACCGTTACCAACTAGAAGTTCTTCTTTACATCCACAAATTTCCAATGAATCTCAACTTTCCGTACCAAGTATACTTGATACTCCACCACTTCCTATCATTACTCCATCACCAGCTCCTTTACCAACAACTCAAAATCCAGAATTGGTAAAATTACAATCAATGGTTTACGATAAAGTAAAACATAAATGTGAGGAATATGTCCAAAAAACGTCACCGGAGTTGAATAGGAATATGTCAATTGGTGAACATTTGAATCAAGATCAAGAACGTATTATTGAGGAAAGGAAACAATTGATTGAAAAAGATGCTAGAATAAAAGAGAAAACAGAAATTTTAAGGGGAAAAATTGCAGAAATTGATAAATTAATAGAACAAGCTAAGAATATGCCCGATGTGTCAGTTGATGATATTCTATGTGGAACCACTATAGTTTATAATCAGTTAAGTGTATTTTTATATTATTATTTATGAACAAATTAAAATCGTCATATTTATCGATAAAATTTTGTTGTTTATTTATAGATTATTTGATTTAATAGCGGAAGACAATGCAATAGAAGATGCAACTTATTATTTAGGGAAAGCATTAAGCAGTGAGAAAATAGATTTGAATTCATATATGAAGGTAAATTTATATTTTATATTCTAAAAGTAATTTTTTTTTAAGAATATATTTATTCATATTCATATGTAATTATTATAAAGAACATTCGAACTCTTGCACGTGAACAATTTATGCGTAGAGCGTTGATTCAAAAGGTTCGCAGACAAGCTGGATTGGATAAAATTAATAAGCCATGATTTACGATAGGTTAGTAACTCAAAAAAAATTTTAGATTCACAGAATAATAGGCCTTTTATTTTATTCAATAATATTAATCTGATATTTGGTTTTAGAAGACTTGGATGATAATTATTTGAATTTTATAAATAACATTTTATTAGGTTGTAATCTAATATAAATATATATGTATTAATTTCATTACAAAAAATCATAACATTAAATTTAAGTTATTAAATTAGATCAATCGTGACTGTATTTTTATTTAAAAATTTGTTTAATTATTTACATATCCGAAATGATTAAAAATATTCAAAATATTCGAAACTTATTTGACCTATTTTTATTATTTGAATTTGAATTTTATAAATAACATTTTATGAGGTTGTAATCTAATATATATATGTACGTCTTAATTTCATAACAAAAAAATCATATTAAATTTAAATTATTAAATTAGATCAATCGTGACTGTATTTTGATTTAAATTTTATGAATAACATTTTGTTAGGTTGTAATCTAATATATATATGTACGTATTATTTCATAACAAAAAATTATTAAATTAGATCAATCGTATTTTTATTTAAAAATTTGTTTAATTATTTACATATCCAAAATTATTAAAATATTCGAAACTTATTTAACCTATTTTATCAAAATCAATCAATTACAGCTTCATATTCTATAATATGATTAAAAAATAGATTTTTATTATTATCATCACTATCGATCTCATAATTATAATAATAAAGTTTCAAAGTATAAATAGTTACAAGACATTCCTCTTCTACAATTTCGAAAATTTGGAACGCTGAGATTTGTTAAATGTAGTGTCTATTATCGTTTATTCGGTATCAGGTAATTCCACTACAACCGGTGCATATTCTCCTTCCTCCTCTTCTTCCTCTCGAGCTGTTTCTTCGTCAACAATTTCCCAATTAAATCTTTGATTAAGAAAACCTCTAAATTTTTCAAATCGACGTCTTAAAACATGTAAATTTTCTAAATTTTGTTGCGATATTGTATCTGTTGACAATACTTCCAAAATATTTCGACGGAAATTCTAAATTAAAAAAATATATATTATATATATATGGATTACCCCAGTTTATTACTTGTATTACCTTTAATGCATGAGTTAAATAATTATTTTCAGTCACTATATTATGAAAAAAATCTCGTGGACATTCTTCAAGTTGGTATTTTAATACATCTATAAAAAAATTGATGAATAAATTAATGAATAAATCACGACGCATACATCTTAAAAATATATTATATGTGTACCAAGAAAATCAGTAAATATTGTATCCACATATTTTTCTATCGCTTCTTGGCATGAACAAATCAATAGAACTATATTTTTCCATTGCATAAATCCTGCATAGTTTTCTGCAATTAAAAAGCATATAAAAGCTAATTGCAATTCTCCTAATAATTCCTTATGATCTAAATTTAAAAAAATTTTGCGTTTCAAAATTGTGAAAAAGTTCTCTCAAAAGAAAAAAAATACACACATATATATACATACCATTATTGTAAACATTTTTAAATAAATCGGATAAAAGCCAACTTTTATCTTGGCTATATTTTGTGACTTCTTGACCTGTAGCACCAGGCCTCCAACTTTTTTTGAGGTCAAATTTTGTAAATAAAATCATATCATTTTCTTCATGTTTCAAATCATTTAATTTAAGTAACTCTTCTTCATCAACAGTAGATGATGAGACATTAGTTACTTTCCCTTCACGAGGCAATATAATAGAAATAAGGCGAGGAGTTATAAAATTCGTTAAATGAACCCATTTTTGAAAATTCGTAGGTGGTGATAAGGGATAGGGTCCTAAAAATGGATCAAATTGACGCATATCTTTAAGGAAAAAAAAAATTTTTTTTAGAATCATTCTAGTTTTTATAAAAAAAAATTTACTTCTAAAAAAAATTACCCGATTTTAATAGTTCATCCGTCGGTTCATCTTTTTTAATATCCTCTAATGTACAATCCCAATATTTGATCACTATCTAATTCAATTGATGTGAATTAAAGATTTATATTCATAAATTTAAAATAATAATAACTCACTTCCTTTGAATCATAAAATTTGAAAAATCCTGTTTTAAGTCCGGAAGTACCAGACTTATCTGAAGTACTAAATAAAAAGAAATTATTAACAATACGCGTCTAAAATATGATAGTAATTTACATAATTGCCTATAACAAACCTATAATATACAAAATGTAGACCGGGAGGAATAAGCTTCACTCCTTTAAACTTTGGTCCTATTTTCCAACAATTGTTATCTATGCCGAACTTAAACGCAAGGTAATACTCGTAAGTTTGATAAGCAAAAAAAAAACTGTTACCCTAAAAAAAAATTAATGGAAACCTCCATTCCTTCGGGCGCGTTCAAGAAAAGCAAGAACGCGCCTTTATCGAATAAGGCTTGCGCCGTTTCTTGATCCATTAAACAAGAAAATTGAATAATTTTACGATAATTTAGTGCGAATTTCTCGGATTTCTGGTAATTTCTTGTGTTACATAGCTAACGTAAGTAATCTGTGTTCTGTGATAAATTATGTCACGTAAAAAAAAATAAACCAACCCTCATTTTAAATGATTTATTTATCTATACATTTTGTTTTTACAAATTCATAAAAAAAAAGATATAATTCACATTATTATTCTTCCATTTATTATATTTAAAAAGTTTATTTATATTAACCAAATATTATATAAAATTTTATTAAGCTTATTCGTCAGGAACTAGAAATAAAAAATAATTTGATTCAATTGAATTAGAAAATTTTAAAATTTCTTATTAAATAATTTATTCTTAATAATAATTTTACCTTCAATTTCTCCGCTTTCAACTGAATCGCTAAGATCTTTAGGAGATTGACTGCATAAAAAACAATAATTAATTATGTTGAAACTAAGAAAAAAATAATAAAATAATACACAATGCTAACCCATCAACAGTGCACCCAACACTATTACAAGTGCCCAAAATTTCTTTTACTGTTCCCTTGAGAGATTTAGCAAAAGACTTGGGATGCATTTGGCGAGCAATTTCAATAACTTCATCCAAAGAAATATTTCCAGAATGTTTAATATTCTTTTCTTTCTTACGATCTCTTGGAGGTTCTTTAAGAGCTCTGATAATTAAAGATGAAGCGCTTGGTACTACGGAAACAGCAGCTTGACGATTTTGAATTGTCAATTTAACTGTAACACGTAAACCCTTCCAATCGGCTGTAGCCTTAGCAATGTCTTCACCGACCTTCTTGGGAGCCTTTATTTTGAAAGATAATAATTTAACTATCAGTGATCTTATATTTAATTTTTAACGATGTCATTTGTCATTATTGTTGATATTAATATTATAAATTTAAATTCTATTGAAATTAAAAATCGATCAATTGCTCCAAAAAGATCATGATCAATTAAAAAAAATATTCAAGATATACCAAACCAAGAGGACCAATTTTAGGAGCGAGGGAACTGGAAGCACCAACTTCACCACCAGTAGCTCGAAGATAAACTAAGAATTTTTTTTATATTATCAGTTTATCTTTCTAAATTCACTTCCATCTTATTAATCAAATTCTAATATACTTAACTAATCTTCACTTCATTTGGATCGATCTTGGGTGCCATTTGTTGAGTATTCTTCTTACCAACGGCCAAAAAGAGGAAGATCTAAAAAATTTCTTTAAAAAATTTTATATTTGAATTTGTGAAACCTAATTGATCTCACGTGATTAAATTAAGCTACTTTTACTCGTTCTTTTTTTTTTTTATTTATTACAATAAAAGATGTCTACAACTTCAGATCCAAAACGTCCCAATGCAATCGTTCAATATACACCCCCTGTAAAACATATTGATGAAATTGATCCTGAGCTTTATGGAACATTTTCACTAATATTAAGTAAGTTTATATAAGTCATACAATTATTTATATTTTTTGTTAACTTAAAATAACGTTAATATAGGCTTCGTGGGTTTAATTTTTAAGGTAAGTTTATTAATTTTTCTAATATTGTAAAATCTTTATTCTGATTATTTCATTTAATTAGATAAAATGGTCATCCTGGGCAGCATTCATTTTTGGAATTATTTCTATAACAAATGAGAGAGCATCCGATCAAGATCCAAATGCCGGGCGTACCGCTTTTTCTAGTCTTTTGTAATTATGCAACTTATAAAATTTTTTATAAAACGGATTAAAGTCGACCTATCTAATCCGAATGTTCTCTTTTTCAGGTTTGCTACATCTGGATTGGGTATTAATTATTTGTACCTGTTTATAAGAATACCTGATCCAACGAATCAATCAGATAAATCATAAATCTTAATTTATTCAGTATTATTATTAATTTAATTTAATAAAATAAAATAGATTTTTTTTTTACAGTAATTTATTAATTTACATGAATCACACAAATTGTATTTATCGTTAAAAAAACGATTTGTTTATTTTATTTATACAGAAAGACATGTAATATTGTAATAATAAAAAAATCTATATTTATAAACAATCAGAAATATTATAAATAAGTTAACAATCTACTTAATGACACATAAATTACTTTATATAATCTGAAATATTAAGAAACGTTTCCCCCATATATTAAATAGACCTTTTACCCGTTTACAATACTTTACTTTTTTCCCTACACCGCCGTTAATAAAAATAAATTCACCTAAAAACTTTTGATGCCTCATAGACTTAGACAGCAGATACAATCTAAAAACATTTATTATTACATTTAAATTCGTTAATTAATATAACAGATTAAAAACATTTTCAAAAATTACTCATTATTACCTCATCAGCCTTTTGTAAAGCTTCAATCATTTTCTTACATTCTTTACGTCTTTGTTGTGTGAATTCACTTTCCTTAAGTAACTCGTCCAAAACGTCTGCTTTGTATAACTCTTGTAATAATTCACGTTGAAGTTCTTCCTTTGCGTGATAAACAAGATTAAGCATGACCGCTTTTGGCACCATATCTACAAGAGTTTTCTTCACGATATTATAATATGATTGAATAAGTAATTCTAAAATAAGATATTATTAAAAAAAATTTTTTGAACAAATTAATATTATAAAGTATTAAAGATTATTCTTCTAATATTCATGTTACTTACTAATCACTTCCGTTTCCATAATTTCACGTTCGGAAAGGTTTCCGGTAGCTTTAAGGACTGGCGGTGGCTAATAGCAAAAAAAAAATATATATATCAAAAATATTATGATAAAATAATAAAATTAATTTATAGATCTATACCGCATCCATAACACCTGGCTTTTTCTTTTTTGAACCAGTAAAGAAACTTCCAAAGAATCCTGTGTTAGCAGGTTCGGGCTCAGCTAATGGATTTATAAGAGTGTTCAAAGTATTTCGCTTATTGTCAGCAGGATTTATTGGTTTAGGATTTAACTTTTCGTTAATAACCGTCATAGCTGTATGACCGTTTATAAAGTCAGGATGTGCCGTGTTTATATAACTCGCCTCCATACTATGGATTAAATTATAAATTTAGTAATTTATACATGAAAAAAATTGCGGTTATGGCTATTTGAATAACTTACGATACAAGATCCTGAACAAGTTTATTTGTTGGTACCATGGACTTTTTATAAAAATTAATTACAACTGAGTAAAATTTCTCTTTTAAACCCGGGAATCGTTTGTACACCTAAATCATAAAGTATTTAGAATTAATAATTGAGATAAAACATCACGCTCAAAAGATTAGTATTTACCGGTTTCTGCAACAGTTGACCTAAAATGCGGACCAATTCGTCATAAACTAAAGTTACACATTTCAAACTTGGTTCTTCAAGACGTTTTATTTGATTCCTAATTATGACTTCGAATGCAGTAGTAGCGACGAATAGAGCTGGAGAGGATCCCTATTTAGAAAAGACAAAGCTGTTAGATCTTGCCTAAACGGTATTTTCAATTCGATTAAAAATTAACATTTGAACTACAATATAATACTAAATACAATTCAATTACCGAGGAATTATAGAGAATTGTCCTAATATCAACATCTTTCACTTGATCAAAAGGATCTATTGATTTTACACCATTTGAATAAACTTCATGGAAAACAAAGCTTATACGCGCACCACCTGCCAATTCGAATGAAGATAATTCGTTGGAATTGCCATCAATTATAGTGCGGAATTCTGAACAAAATTCGGTGATTATATTTAGAACGAGGTTTGCATGATTATGGCCACCATCGTTTATTGGATCACCAAGCGTTAACAATTCATTTTGGTATTTCAATAATGTCGCTTGAATTTTAGCTTTAATTTCAGGAAGTGTAGTGCGAATATGATGCATAAGTATCTAAGATTAGGAAAAACATATTTAACAAATGCAAAATTAATTATTAGTGGAATAACAGAAGCTAATAAAGTTTGAAAAAAAAAAAAAAATAATATATACCATATTCAATTTACGAGCAAGGAATGGTGTACCACAATACTGTGCTTTGCTCTTATACGCTGGGTGATCTTCGAAGTATTTACGTTCATTTTCCAAAGCAGATGTAATGGCTTTTTTAGTTTCAATATCCTTTTGACCACGATTTACAACAGGTACATAACCTATGTATTTACGATAATTAGAAATTTATAATGAACATTTTATGATAGTTTAGTAGTTACAAATTAAGGAAGAGAAGATAAAAAGTACAATAATCCTACCAAGTCGTAAAGGAATAATACGTCCGGCCAAGATGTCTACAACATCTGTTCCTTGATCCCTATAATAAACAAGAAGATAATTTATAGTCAATAAATAATATACGAATATATAACTTGAATAAGATAAATTCAAAACCTTACATAAGATCAACTTTTGTAAGAACACCAATAGTCCGTGATCCTAAAAAAATTTAAATGTTAAAAAATATTTAATATTTAGTAATATAACATTTTAATCAATATTTACCTTCAGGATCAACTTCACGAGCCATTTTGAGCCCATCTGAATTTGCTAAATCAGTATTTGCTGGTGTAACTGCGAGAATGATAGAATTTGGTTTAGTGATATACTTCAATATCATTTCACGAATCTGCTTTTCGATATCTTTTGGTTGATCACCAACAGGAACCTAAAATTTTGTTATAGAGTATATAAAATAATATAAAGTTAATCCAAATTAAAAGAAATCGGATTTAGATGTCTAAATCATACCTTTGTAAGACCGGGCAAGTCAACAAGAGTCAATGTGAGCACATTAGGAGAGTATACTCTTAAATTGATGGGTTGTGAAGAAATACCTATACGGAGGGAGTAATAATATATTATAAAACGCGTTAATTTAAGAAATGTTACAAAAAATACACATTATTCTTTTTTAAATTATGAGTCGATAAACAACTAACCGGCATTTTTTCCAGTTTTCAATTCAGTGTCCTTTACAATCTCTTCTCGAATTTTATCAAAATCATAAAATTTTTGACCGGGAATATGTAAAAATTCACCCCATTCATCACCTTCTTTTGAATCTAAAAAAAGAATAAAAAAAGTTAATAATCTAATAATTGAAATATTAATGAAGATTAATGATCAATTACCTTTAGGCTTAGTATCTTTAGTTACACCATTTGGTTTAGGAGTTTCACCATTTGTTTTAGGAGTATCATTATTTGGCGTTTCATTCGCCGGACGATTGATAAGTTGTAAGACCTTTTTGATAAAAAAGTAAAACATTAATTTAAGTAACCTTTCCAATAATATAAATTCTTTTTAATTACCATACTAAAAGATGATAATGAAACTAAATAAATTTAATAAGAAATGACATACCAAAGGTCTTCGAGTAACAATTCCTGTCCCCCTAGGTAAAAAGTCACGACCAACAATATTTTCTAAAACGGAACTTTTACCACTCGATTGTGAACCAATAACTATAATCTGTGGTAAATCTACCGGGTTCTGAACGCCAACAGTAGCAAAAGCGTCCTGAAGTTTATTAACTGTAAAAGTATTAAATAAAATTCGCTGAATAAACACAGTAGCATTACAACTTAAAATACCTGTTTTAATTAAAGTAGTGTCCATCGATAAAGTCTATATATTTCTGGTGAACTTTATTTTTTATTAAACGGTACAGGTAAAAAAGTTAAAGGATCAAAGGTAAAGTTGCTTACTTTAACGAAAACAGTAATATCACCTCGACCCTTTTATGAAACCAGGTGTAAAAAAAAACTGGTTTTCCGGGTTTGTAAAAATTTTCTAATCTGGCCAATCACGCCAAGACCTAAGACCTTCCAACTTTTCAGCCCTATGATGATTAGGCTGATTAGGGAAGGATAAACCAAGTTTACAATACGTGATTTAATCGTTTAATGGAAGAATTTTCACGTGATGAGATAATGAGATAATCTCAATAAAGATATAAATATCTTTTTTTTTTTTTAAAAAAAAAAAAAGTTTCTTAAACCCTTCTTCAATGTAAAAGTAGAATTAAATTTAGTGTTAAACATGGTATAATGATTGAAATAGTTGAGCTGTATTTTTTGACTATTATAGAGTATATTATATAGCAAAAAATTTAAATCTGGTTAACATCCATTTGGCGAAGGTAGTACCTTAGCATTTTTATTCAAACGAGTAATAATTTTATCTTATAAGCTCTCAAATAGACAACGAAATGTGAATTGTCAAACTATTTCAACAATCAACTATGGATAAATGTAAGGATTTTTAATTGCGTGAAAATTTTTTTTTTTTTTTTTGACTGAAATATGGATATAATTCGAATCAAACGTTGAAAATGATGATACAACATAAGAGTCAAGCTCTGATCAAAGAATTCTTTGCTGATGTTAAAGATATGAACAATCCAAATCTGACAACGAATGAATTTATTCTTGATTTGTTTAAATACGAATCTTCTTTAATTCATTAACTAATCTTGTACTGCATTCTTTTTTTTCATGATTTATGTATTGTACAGGTAGCAGCAGTTCATTTATGATGGATTAATATCGTAAAAATATATTAATTATTGTTAACTGCCGGGCAACTCCAAATCGAACAATTTTAATAAATGGAAGAATGATCATAAGCCCACTTAAATTACTCGGTCAACCGGAAAAATGGTCCTAATGCAATTTTATTTGGTCAAATAGGATATATAATGAGGTTGAACCCGGAGGCGTTGTATCGTGGGCCGACTAAAATTTTTTTAAATGTTTCAAAAAGAAATACATTATTAATTTTTCTTCATATTCTGTTCCAATGGCTGGACCTATACGGGAGTTTCTGGAAATAATCTGTCGACATGGATGTCTTCGTAAACTGTTAATTATATATATACTATTTATGGATGTTTGTCATAGTGTTGAAACGCTATCTTGTCATCTAATAATGCGTATATATATAACATTTACCGCGAACTTCTCACATTTAAACGGACAATTCTTATTTCATTGAAAATCACATGCTGCATATGTTACGTACATTTCATCCTTATAGCGTTACTCTCAATTCTCTAAAATATATTGTACAACATTATCACCACTTTTGTAAATCACGAGCAAAGGTTTTTATCAGTTTTTTTTGTTCCCCATTTTAGAAGTGTATTATTATTTAGATGTTTATTATAAATTCAATCAAATAAAAAAGATAATCGACAAAAAAGTACAGACAAACCTGATCATTTCCAAAACAAAACTTTTGATATGGTTCTTTCCTAAGGACGATTAATTAATTATAATCATATTTTTTTCCCTATTTTCTTTGAGAGAAAAATGAGCTCGTTAACTCCCCTCTCAGCAACAGATCCGGAATATCAAAATATAATTTCTCATTTTGACCTTCCTCCTTCATCCTACGTTATCCATAGCATTTTAAAAATTAAAATGGATTGGATTTATGCAGATAGATTTGATAATGCCATAAGGTGGGCATGGAAAAAACCAGATACCTATGAATTATTTCATGGTACAAGACATGCTTGTAATGTTTGGGAATTGAAGTATTCGAATAAATTATGTGATAATACTCAATGTGGTAATAATTCATCTATCTTTATCTTTTTTTTTTTAAAAAAAAAAATAGGTGTCTACTAACTTTTTCTTTTCTCTTTTTTTTTCTTTTTCTTTTTCTTGATTACTTGACCACTGATAAATTATTTTTGAGGTGTTTGCGGAATTCTTAAATTTGGAAATTTGTTGAAAATGGCAAAACCGAATTTTGCCGGACGTGTGTTTTCTAAATTATAATTATGAATAATTATTATCTGTTATGCTATTAAATTCTTATCTAACTTGCCCTTTTTTCATTATTGTGGTTAGAATATCTTTGGTTTAGTCCTAGAGCTTCTTATGTACAGAAATACACGGGTCCTCTGAAACCACATGATGATGGATTTAGAGCCATGTTTGTCGTGAGCGTCATATTTGGAAAGCATTACTTAAAATCAATCATAACTGAATATGAAGAAGTAATATTAAAGTTCACATTTGATATTTTATAATTCTTTAATTCTTATTAAACATTATATGTATATTTTTTAGAATGTCTTGCCTAAATATTTGATAATCTATAAAGGAAATTTCGAAAACTTCGAAAAACAAGAAATTCTCTAAGATCTATCTGCTAATTTTGAATCGAAATAAAAAAAAAAAAGAATTATCAAATGTTTATGATAAATGTTAATACTACATATTCTTTGTTAAAATTGTCTATTATATAAAAGGATTGTTAATTTGTTCAGACTGGTTAGTATATATATAGAATATACTTGAAATAGGACTTTTTTTCACCAATATTATACACAATTTCCTTGAGATTATTTGGATTGAAATTAATCCAACTTACTTTGAAAGTATTCACATATAATCGTATACAATTCTGGTACAATATAATAATGAGAAAATATTAAATCAAAATTGCTTTTTATTTATAATATAACAGAATATAGTATTAGCAAGAAATACATAATGATTCATAATGATTAATCTATTAATAAACCAACGATTAGCTAACAGCCACATTAATTAACAGTTTGGATCTACAAAATTTTTTAGATTCGATTAAATACTTTTTGTTCTAAGAGGTAATGAATGAATTAATTGAATTATTTATCATATATATAAATATGAAACTTACTGCAATTACAGGTTATAGGAACTGTTGCACGTTTTCGTTGATTAACAGGATATCGTTTTTCGACGAATCTACATCTTTGAGCTAAATGAAAGAAAATTACAGATAAATTCAATGAATAAATTTATAGTATCATTTTTATATTAACTTACGACAATAGCAAACGGCTGAAGTAGTAGTTTCTAAATTGATTAGGAAGATCAAGAAGATTACTAAGAAGAAGGTAGCGGAGAACTTCATTTCGAATGAAAGGATAAAGAATTGTAAAAATTTTTTATGAAATTAACAAATAAAATGAATTTTTTTTAATCGAAAGATTTAAAGAGAAATGAGTAAAAGATTTAAAGAAGGGTTTTAAATAGAATATTTGATTTTGACTTATTATAATATTTCTTTGAAAAGGCTTGGAGTTGGTACTTTGTAAATAAAGATGCGATACATCATGGTGCGCGAGACCTTGAACAAAAAGATTGGTTTCTATAATCTCCTGAATTCCAGATTTAGCATTTTACATGTTTACATAATAAAAGTCGGCTTAATTTCGGATCGATTATTTTGTAATAATTTATTTGCATTTACAATAACAAATAATTAGAATAGTTTGCATTGTTATTGTGTGTCACGATCACCTTCTAAAATTATGCCACTGATCAGATGCAACGCGTCTCTAATAAATAATAAATAATAAATACTATTTTCTTGAATAGTGCATCTTCCCTATTAATTAAAAATACAACGATGCAACTTAAAATTAAATTTTTGAGTTGCATACGGAAAAGTTCAGGAGGAGAGGTAATGAATATAATGAATATAATGAGCGTGATTATTTTTTTAAGAAATCGTGTAATATAAATTTAATAACGGTATTAAAATTTAGTAGTACAGTGCCTAAATAAAGCTTTTTTTTCTAAAATAATATATCTGATAAAAATTGTTTTTCTTATTTTGGAAAAGTTTTCAAATTTAATATTTTTCTCCATGTCTTGGCGCGAATTATTAAATGTGAATGTGTTACAAAAGAAACAACGCATTGAACCTTAAAATGCCATTACAATTGTATTTCAAAATGCCAACTCAATTAAGCATTTATTAATTAAATATTCATATCATATACTGTAAATATTTTCATGTATTATGAAATCTTGGAACAAGTTACATCATAATTTGATTGGCCAATGTAATGAAGGTAATGACGCCATAAAATAGAGAATTTTGATTTGCACTTAATATGACTGTTAAGCGAAAAGTTTTATAATGAAATCATAATAATAATAATCAACATCAAATTTAAAAATAAATAAAAAAAGGTCGCATTTTATTTAATTTAAATTGTTAACAGATTAAATAATGTAATATTTTTAGCAGCTAGTTAACTGTTAATGCTGATACATATCAAAAAAATTATTACGTGTCTATGTAAGATATATCATTAATAATATTCATTAATAAAGAATTAAAAGAAATGCTAAAATTAATTGAATTCTCGATAACAACGGTAAAGAGTTCGATTATAACGACATGCACGACCTACACAAGGTCTACCGCATATTGAAGTACGAGTAGGAGCAGAAGTAGAAGAAGGAGTAGGAGTAGGAGTGGGAGTTGGAGTTGGAGTTGGTTTTTTGATTGGCGGATCTATTTTGATTTAAATAGTAAATTACATGTGAGAAATTATAAATTTATGATCACTCACCAATAAAAACTTACTTTGACCAGGCAATGCCAATGTTAAGTTGGCAAACAATGCCAAAACAGCAATAAAAAACATAAAAGAGAAATTCATTTTTTTTCGTTTGAAACTGATTTTATTAATAATTTATGAGCCGGTATTAAATCAATTAATGAGATTATTAGAATTTGTTCGTTGAAATGAAATAATTCAATTTGGAGGGTTTATATACTGAATATTGGGTTATTTACGTGAATCGAACGAATTATGAACTTTTTACTTGTTTGCTAAAAAAATATCATTTTATCTTATAAAAGAACATTATAAAAAGGTAACATCATATGATTAATTGAGTAAAGTTTTATTCACGTAAATTTACCGTGCATGTATGACAAATTTATCATTTTACAAACAATCTTAAAATTTTTTTTTTAGAAAAAAAATGCAAGTTATTTATTGTAGCGATCTTCTTTCAAATCCATTTTTATTGATCTGCATAGAAATAATATTGCATTGTCTAATTTAACATTTTCCAAAATAGTATTTCAATAAAATAAAATTTCCACATTTTGTAAAAAGGTTTTGAACTAATTAGCGATCATGATTTTTTTAGAAATTGTTCACATAATTTACCACCTTTTGCAAAGGAATTTTCTATAAATCAATCCAGAGAGCATTTATTTGTAATTGGAACTGTAAATGCTACTAAAATTTCTATTCTAATTTCTAATTTGAGTTCAAGTATTTAACTGGAATTTTTAGCCTAAAATCGACTACAAGAAACTACAACATTGATGCAGGTAATTTCATGTCTTATAGAAGTCAAATTATTGTAAAAATATATGTGCACTTATCTCCAAATTATATAAGTTGACTCATGAATCACGAATTAATAATATAAATCTTTCTTTTCGGATATTCTGATAAGAGGGAAATAATTATTTTTATCAATGATTTATAGTTTTTTAGTGTTAAAAACTGAAACTATTATTACTCATCTTAAAACATTAGTAACATTACATATTAAAATCAGCGCCTAGTAAGTTTTAATTAACTGTTAAGATAAAATTTAAATGCAGCTTACACACATTCTAAATTTTAGTGTCACAAAACATTTCAGTGAGTGATTTCAGCTAAATTTCAAGTATGTATTTTAACAAAACATTATCTTGTACATCTCATAGATGTCCCACTCTTTTTAAAATACTATGTTGAATTTGATAATGACAATAACAACAACGAACCTTTGATTCAGAAAGAACCATTTAACTATGAATCTGGAAAGTAAGATAAAAGGTTTAAAATTTTATATCTAATAATAGTTCACGTGAATCTCGATTAGCATACAATGAAACAGATTGAAGATCAGTTAGTTTACTATAGAATTGGAACTATCAATGTTCGCAGCATTACGTTAAAATATTATTGCATCTACGTGATTGAGTGTTTTCCGAAAAGAAGTGAAATAATAAATCACTTGGTTGGTATTGTTAAAAATATCCTATATCATGTTGCAACTCCATCAATTTATTTATCAATTGTTGAAAAGTTACAATTATTAAATGAATATCATTAATTCTAAGAATTCAGCACAATTGACACAAGCAATTCATATTATGAAAAAAAAGTGTAACCTAATAAATAACATGTCACTTTTTGATCCCATTTTCCGATTTTTTTTCCGCCCTACATCTTAACATAATTTAATCCTTCTTTTATAATATTTACCTATAATAGATTCGACCATTTGAAATATAGGCCTTTTCCGCTCTTATCTTAGTTAATCCAAATTTAGCATCTTTCCCAAAGAACTTTTGCGATATATGCAACTTTTGATGAGCTGTTTTCCATTATTTAAGAAATTGTAGATATTATTTGTCATACCATCAGTGATAGCTAAATTTGAATTGAATCATGTGATATAGGTTGCTGGTATAAATATGGCATATAAAAATTTCAATTTTTTTTTCGAATAAAAATGAGTGTTAATTATCAAAATGCAAATAATCAACTTAACTTGCTTTACCAAAAAGCTTTACAAGTTGCAAATAATGCAGTTAAAGAGGATGATATTGGCAATGTTGAAGCTGCTATAAAATCTTATTTGGAAGTTAAAAAGGTACTTTTTAAATTTTTTTTTTTTTTCTTCTTATATGGTTTTCAAAATTATTAACTTAAATTTTTAAAATTATTGAATAGATTTTTGAATCTATTTTGCAACGTGAGGGGTCAAAATTGTTTTATATTTTTGGCTGAAATTAGGTTTACTTACTATTTAATTATGAATTTTTTTTTAAGTTGAAACAAATCAAATTAAGGGAAACAAGATTCGTGAAAAATATCAAGAATATAATATACGAGTCTCTGTATTAAAAAAATTAACAACTTACGATAAATTAATGGTTCAGGCCAAGGTTTTATATTCCCTTTTAATATTCCCTAAATTCTTAATAATATTCGGTTTAATATATTAAAAATAATTTTATTTAGCATAAATTGGATCAAATTTCATTACAATATGAACAAAAAAATAATCAAGAAGTTTTAGAATTGTATAAATGCTTATTAGAAATATTAATGAAGGCGGCTATGGAAGGTTATATATATTATTCATATAAAATTTTATTTCTATTAAATAGTAATATTAATTATAATCTATAAATAGAAACAAGGGATAAATCAGAATTGGTTAAATTTATGAATAAAATATTTGAAAGGGCTGAAGATTTGAAAGGATTACCAACGACCATGTCTTCATTACGTAAGATATTATATAAATTTCTTTTTTTTTGTATTAATTCTTATTATTTATAATATTTAATTGTGAATAGAGGTAAGATCGTCTAATCCCGGTGCAGAGAATGCTTCTCTAATCTATAAGCTTTCGAGCATAGAAGATGCAATTCTTAAAAAAAATTCAATAATAAACGGAAAAAATTTTCCTCAATGGCCAGAAGAGCCAGAAGAATTAAATGAACAATTTGAATTTGAACGCCCATTTGTGTATGTTTTAACCAATCAAGGAGAATAAGAATTCTGTTTAGAAATAAGCTTTGTTTCTTAAAAAAAATTTCTATTGAATGATTCGTGCTATATTACCTTAATATAGAGATAATGATGTTTTGGAATTATCGATAGCGCAAAGAGAAAAATTTGATTCATGGAGGCGTCCATCAGAAATAATGAATGAACCTGAATTATTTAAAATGGTTTCAAGTACTGCTATCAAACAAGTAAGTTTATTGGAGGTTTATATAAAATAATATATTTATTATGAAGTTTTAAATTACTCAATATTTTGGTATATTTGGTTGTAGGATGTTGTAACCGATTGTTCCTTTGTAGCATCGTTATGTGTAAGCGCAGCATATCAGAAACGATACGGTAACAAGCAGGTTTGTTTGTAATTAAATAATATATATCAGGCAAATCGACAAATATTTAAACTCGTTTTTTTTATATAGTTAATTACAAGATGTATTTTTCCCAAAAATAAATATGGCCATCCATATTATAATCCAAGCGGAAAATATGTCATTAAATTAATATTTAATGGAGCTCCGAGAAAAGTAGGTCCCTATTATTTTATGATTTCACAAGATATCCTTTGTAATTTATTTTATTATTTATCCTTATATACCTATTTTTATTAATTTAAGGTTGGTGAGTAAAGTCAGGTAGCAAATCGTAATTTAACTATCTATTTTGACATCAAACGTTAAAAATTTTAAGTTATCGATGACTTTCTTCCATTTTCTCGCGATGGAACTTTGATGTGTACGTTTTCAACAAATAAAAATGAATTATGGCCAAGCATAATAGAAAAGGCTGTAAGTTATTTGGTTCATTATTCAATGTTGATTTATTCATTCAATTATTATTTTATTTGTTATTTATTTATTTGTTTGTTTATTTGTTTGTTGTTTATTTATTTATTTAGTATTTGAAATTGATGGGAGGTTATAATTTTCCTGGATCGTAAGTAATAATATGATTATCATTTGAATCTATTTATCACATGAAAGTTTGAAATTAATTTTTGGTTTATTTAGAAACTCGGGAATTGATCTCTAGTAAGTCTAATAATTTTGCAAGGATAATAAAAAATTAATGAGCACTAATATTAATTCTAGAGTTGCTTTTAGTATACTTACTGGATGGATTCCAGAACAAATTTTTATAGAGTAAGAATATCGTTTTATTACATTATTCGTCAGGATGTTATCCTTCTTTGACACCTCTTTCGAATTTTTTTATTTAGCAAATATTTCGAAAAAGAAACTATGTGGAAACGGATGTTGAATAGTCAACCAAAAGATGGTAAAAGATAACAAGATGAATTCCAATAATTAAAGTTATCTGTTGTTCATACTTATCTTTTAATTTAGACAAGAATCCGGACCAACATGCACTTATTACTATTGCCACCGGTCACTTAAGCGATACTAAAGGATTGGTTCCTACTCATGCATATGCCGTTTTAGGTAATTTATATGATTATTTTTAACAGTTTTTTTTTCTTATTAATTCTTTACATTTTACAGATATACGTGAGTTTAACGATATCCGTTTATTACTGGTAAGAATTAGCATTAGACATTCCCGGGTTTCTTCTTGATTCAAAATATCTTTTCTCTTAAAAAAAAAAGGTTAAAAATCCATGGAGTCATAAAAGATGGACAGGACCATTTAGTCATTTAGATCGCGTTAATTGGACACCTGAATTAATGAAAGCATTAGATTATGATATAGAGAGAGCATCTAATGTTGACGATGGTAAATCTAAGTTAAATAATTAAAATTTTAATGGTACAATTATTTAATATATATTCTTAACATTTATTATAGGAATATTTTGGATTGATTTTGATTCTGTATGTGAATATTTTTACTCAATTCATATGAATTGGAATCCAGAACGTTTTCGCTATGTTGTTACAAAGCATTCGTGAGTTTTATAAAAATATTACTATTTTCTTTTTATTATTTTTATAATTTTAATTCCTTATTAATTAATTAGAACATGGCCTATAAATGTTGGATTACGAAAAGACACCGTGAATTTAGGTAATTTATTAATATAGTACATAATTTTTTACATATTCAGTCAAAAATAATGTGATGTTTATTTTTAGCATATAATCCACAATTTTGTTTGGAAATAAATAATGAGAGTGAACAACCATCTGAGGTTTATCTTTTGTTATCTAAACATATCACTGTTACAGAAGAAGAAAATGAGGATTTCATCACGTTACATGTTTATAATGATACAAATGGAGAAAAAATTTATTCCGACAAAACTCCTTGGAAGAAGGTATTTTTATTATCATAAAATTAAAAATAGTTATAAATGTTATTTGATTCATTTTAAATTCTTTAAAACTTAGGGAGCATATGTAAATAGCCCTCATATACTGGTATGTAAAAAAAAATATATATATATATTGTATTTATTCTAATTTTTTTAAAAAAAAATTTAAAAAAATTTTCTTTTAACCAAAAAGGTTAGGTTCGATGCGCCAACTGGTATAACTCGCTATACCATTGTTGTTGCTCAAATCAATCGATTCAAAACTTTAGATTTTACTTTGAAATGTTATAGTATATCACCAGCAACATTATCGGAAATTTCAAAGAAATATCAAAACGTGAAACATGTTCGTATTAATGCGCTGTATTAATGTCACACGATTTATTTATGCTTTTTTTTTAAAAAAAAAAAATTTCTTCTTTTTAGATTTCTGGCAAATGGACAAATCAAACAGCTGGTGGAAATCCAAGTAATATAACTTATTTAAACAACCCAGAGTATCGTGTTTCAATATCACCGCCGGTATCTAATTCACCATCGGATAAACCTCGAGTGTTATTAATGTTGGAAGGTCCTAAAAAGTTTGCAATGGATGTTAGGATGATATGGAGCAATGGAAAGAGAATTGCTAGGTATGATGAAACCATGATAATCTACAAAATACATATATTTTTTATTTATCTATGTTTTTTTTCATTCTAATATAGTTTAACTACCAAGGATATTTTGATGAAATCTAGCGGTTATCGAAATGGGTTTTGTTATTGCGAAAAGGATGACATAAAACGTATGTGATATTGAATATAGTTATTATTACCGCTGTTGGGAATAATTATTGTTAACCTAAAAATTTTTTGTATAGCTGGTGATTATACTATTATTGTATCAACATATGAACCTGGCCTTATTGGAGAATTTACATTAACTGTAGCATCAAATGTTACATTTAATGTCACTAGCATACCGCTTGAAGGAGCTGTAAGTTAATTTATGAGACAATGAATTTAATTATATAGAGCTTATTTTCAACAATACTTTTTTTTAGGGAATGTTCAAGAAAGTAATTCAAGGACAATGGTAATTAAAACTATTTGCATTTAATGTCGTTTTATAACATTGTTAAAAATATATATAATTTTTTTTTTTTATTAAAATAGGATTAAGGGATTTAATGCTATGGGGTATCAACATGATTTTTATTTAAACCCAAGTTATCATCTTAAAATTTCTGAAATGACTACTATTAAGTAAGTTATTTATGATTCTCTTTTTTTTCCAACAATATGATAAAGAAATAATGAATTTTTTTTTTAATAGAATTAGGCTTCAAACACCAGAAATGAACCCTACACCGACGCATATTAAAGTATTTGAGAAACGTCCAAATAACTTACTTGGTAGAGAATTAGCTAATTCAGGAGATTTTGCTTATGCCGGTTTTATCCAGGGTGTTTGTACAGAAGATATATCTCTTCCTTCAAGTGATCAAGGTTACGTTATAGTATTTTGTACATGGGAAAAAGATGTGGCTGGTAAATTTATTGCGTATATTTATAGTGATAGGAATATAACTATTGAAGAAATCATTCATGAACGAAATGAGCTAAGAAATAATAATTAATTTTTTGGGATTTTAAGCATAGGGAGGTTAACCAGATAACTTATCTTTTTCAATGAAAAAGTGGTATTGAAATGAATCATTGATTACAATAATTACATTTTATTTTAGATAGAATATAGATAGAACTTATTTTAAGTTAAATAAACATTAAAACCTTAATATTAAAGTCTTTTTTTTTTTTATATGGTGTAACCATAAGTAAAGGAAATGGCTCGCATTAGTTTCCATATGGAAACCCGGTTAATAAAAAAACAAATGCAACATTAAATACAAACTATCATAAAATTTACAATACTAAAATGTACATTTGATATTAATAATTAAGTTCGCGTGACTTACATCACTTGATACAAATATTTTAAAAATATTCATTATAATTTACATAATCGTACAATCTTCCGCTTTTAATCCATATAATTCTTTGTCTACTTCTTTTTTAATTATCATCCAATCCTCACGTTTTTGACAAAATTCATATACATCTTCAGCATGTAAAACACCATTAAATCTGTCTGCTTCCCTTACAAATGACCCTATATCACGTGCATTTGATATAATATAAATATTTCCAAGTTCTTTGAGTGCGATAAAGTATGGTGTAATATTTGGTTGCCGTAGTGAAATAATAAATGAACAATAATGATTCAGATCACTTTTATAAAATAAGGTAAAAAAAAAAAAATGTTAAATTTTTTGTTATTTAATTCATAATTTTATATGAACTCTTACCTAATGACTTGAAATCCACCACTTAAGCTCACTGTAAATTTTTTAATATGCTTTGTTAAAGTTCTTAAAAAAAAAAATAGGTAAGAAAAGAAAAAATCGTTAAAATGGTAATAGCTCATGTATTTAAGATGATAAAAATTCGCATATTTACCCAAAAAACCGAAGACCAATTTCTTGAAAAAACACATCCAAAGTATGTTTATCCGAACAACCGATAACTAATTTAGTATGGTTAGATAGACACTCGACAGCATCGATACATGCCTTAATTTATAATGAAATAAATGAATTTCTTATTAACAAAAAATCATAAACAGAACATTAAAACAAAATTTTAATAAATATAAATATTTTACCTTCGTTGGTTGTAAATCAAATGAATCATCATTTGCTGGTTTAAACTCTTCCGGTTTTTGTTCCGTGGCAAGAATAAATTCAACGTGATCTATTAAAACCTAATAAAATTCAATAATATAAATTCTTTTTTAAAAAAAAAAAATTTTTAATACATTGGATAATTAAGTATAATATTATATACCTGAATTCCTTTGTTTAATCCGGCAGCAACACTCTCATCAAGAATCTTTTCAAAGACTTTTTTTTCCTTATTACAATTATTCAAAAAATCCGTTTTATCTATAAATTTATTCTAAGAGATGGATAAGATAATATTATGTTAATATAGCTACACAAAAATATAGCTACACAAAAAAAAATGAGATAATTACCATTTCTTCGTCATAATATACTTGCACCATTTGTTGGATTAAATCAGCAATATGAACCAATTCAAAGAATCCTACCAAAGGCGCAAGGTCAGATGATGTGGATTCTGAATCTGATTTATCTGATTTAAAATCACCGAGACGTTTTATGGCACTAAAATTTAGAATGTGTGTAAATTGAAATAAAAACATTCAAATTTTATCAATATTACATTAATCAAAACTTACGTATTAAATGCTGGTTTAATATGTAACGGTCCTAATGTTTGAAGAAGAGTAATGAATATTGATTCCAAAGTTTCTTTACTATAATATGTTTTTTTTTTAAAAAAAAAATATTTCAACTTTTAACGTCAGAAAATATTATAAAACAATCATAAAATAAATTTATAAAAATGATTACATTCTATATCCCATCTTATCAGGATATCCAGTAAAGGAAGATACTCTACGTAATGAATCTTTGTTTACGTGAACCATTTGTAAAGCTGTCTCCAAACTAAGCATTTGCTGCATCTTATCCAATTTAGCATTCGATAAAGCTGATTGAAGGTCTGTTAGATTTAAGGTAGGATTGGAACTAGTGATGCTCGAAGCACTATTTCGTTTATTACGAGAAATATTTGATGATGATGATTGCACTGGTGAAGAATGACGTGAACGTACTGTTGGAAGCTTGAGTATTTTCCGAAAAGAGGTAAGATAATTACGTTTGTAAATCTCTCGGTTGGCATTATTAAGAATATCCTGTTGCGCTTCCATCGATTTATTTATCAACTGTTGAAAAGTTATAATGACCAAATTATTATCGTTAATTCTAATTCAACACAATTTATTTTATGCAAAAAAAGGTGACCTAACATGTCACCTTTTGATTCCATTTTTCGATTTCATCTTCGCTCCGCGTCTTAACATAATTCAATTCTTCTTTTAAATATTTATCCATAAAAGGTTCGAACATTTGATATATAAGGTCTTCCGCTCTTATCTTTGTTAATCCAGGTTTAGCATCTTTCCAAAGAACTTTTGCGACATGTATGCAACGTTGATGAGTTGCTACAACTGTTTTCAAATACAAGCTAATATCTCTCCTACAAGATTCTTCCAAAAGTATTGTTATGTACTCTATAATCTATTAAAAAAAATCTTAATTGAATTATTTTGTTGAATTTCCAAATATTAATTTAATTTAATAATTTAACTTACAACATCCTCAACAACACGCTCAACAAAAGTATAAAATACGTCGGCATCTTGAGGAAATATTTGACTAATCAAGGAAGCTTGCTTATTCATTTCTTCTTCAACATAATTAAAAAATTCTGTCATTTGCATATAATTTAATTCACCGATATTAGAAATTGTTAAACATCTAATTAAAGGATAAAAATGATTAATTATATAATATAAATAATGAATTATAAAATGAATTAAAAAACCTCATTGAAAAACTTACGTAAAATTATCCATTGGATCATAAAGATGATCAAAGAAAATAGAATTCTTTTGTATGAAGACCTGTATACATGCCGAACCTCCATTCAAATTTAAAAGAATAGTTGCCCATTTCTTTTTAATTCAAAAATAAATAAAATTTTAAAAAACAATTCTATAATATTATTATTAACAACATACTAAATTAAAACAATCTAATTTAATAAACCTGCATCTCTGAAATATTTTGAACGTTATATGCTAATTCAAAATGGTGTAACGCTGAATTTTCAAAATATTCGATGGTAGTTTCAAGTGCATTATTAATCTAAATATATAATAAATAAAAAATCAATTAAATTATGTGAAATATATCTAATATTATTCAACGAACTTACTTGTTCAGAATCTAACGTTATATTTAATTTTCCAAAACTTAATAATCTTGCCAACATTTTTGATTGATCTGATGGATCATTATATTCTTTAAATAATCTACTATCCTTCCTTCTATGCCTAAAATCTAAATAATATGGTAATAATTCTAAAAAGATATTTTTAAATGAAGATCTCGCAAAACCAGTAGATGCAGCACGAGATTTTTGTGAAAATGAATCAAGAGGAAGACCAGGAATTAAAGAATTTGCAGTTGTTATTGCAAAATCTAATAAATTTCCAGTATTATTAGGTGTTGTTGGAGAAGATGGAGGTGAAGCAAAAGGATCAAATTCGGAAAATTTTGAATCTTGATTAAATTTATTATTGTCTTTTCCTTTTACAGTATGTTTTGCATTAACATATAATGGTTCTACAGGAGCATTCATAATATCACCATTTTCATAATCTTTCCATACTCCTAATGTTTTTAAACGCTGCTCCCATAACTCGTCATCATATACCAAAACCTTAAAACGTCTACATGCTCTTGCAAAATTAGGTAATGAAGCAATTGGAAGATATTTAAGAATTCTTATCAGCAGATCTGGTGGTAAAGTTGTTTGTTGTGATTTTTCTGACAGCTGTATCATTGATGATTTTTTTGTAGAAGTCATACCAGGAATAACCGAAATGGGTAAATCAGAAGAAATCGAACCAAAAAAATCGAATTTATCCATATTTAATTTTTTTGGACTCTGCAAGAATTTAACAGATTTTTAGAATCCATTCAAATTTAAGATTACAAATAGTGAACGGAAAGAATAAGAGTTCGAAGTATAACTAATTTTAGTTTTCTAAATGTTTTTTTTTTTTTTACCTCATAATTGTTAGCACAAATTTCACATGATCAACAATGATCAACCTTCAGCCATAGATTAACTTAAATTGTATTTCCCGTAAACTAGGATGATGTCATGCTTAAAAAAAGACTATAATTCCAGGTTATTGGTCCGTAAGTACGCTTAAAACGCTTACAAAAAGATTTTCAAAGATCCAGAATTCATTTAACTAATCCAAAATCAGCGATATAATTGGTATCACGATTTATATCTGTAATAACGAATTTTATTAACTAAAGAATATAAATGACTCAAATTTCCTTTATAAAGAATCTTCTTAGCGAATCTTTTTTATAATAAATATTCTTAACGAACCTTTTTTTATAATAAATATTCTTAACGAATCCTTTTTCTAATAAATCTTCTTTATAACGAATCATTTTTATAATAAATCTTCTTTATAACGAATCATTTTTATAATAAATCTTCTTTATAACGAATCTTTTTTATAACAAATTTTCTTTATAGAATTTTTTTTTTTAACGATTTGCAAAGAAGGAAAATTTATTACTATTGCAAGACGAATAATTTACCCAATGATATTCATTGGAATATTTAGACTTCAATAATTATTAAATGTATATATAGTATAACATATTTCTGGAATATTAGAAGAATTGAAATTGGAAGGAATTGATTCTAATAAAGTCATTGAACAGATAACGGATATCATGCCATGTTTGTTATCTAATACTGCAATTACAAATGTACTTGATTTCCTATTTTATGATGTTAAAAGGAATTTCTCATAACCAAAGGCCTGATCAACCCACGAACCCCTACTTGACTGTATATTAATAATACATATGTCAATTATCACATGAAATGAGGATAAAGATTTGATCTATAAGAGAATATATACAATATATTATGGATGGATAATGGATGATTAAAATTCCAACGGCATTAATAATAACCGATACTTTATAATAATTACTAATAGAAATTTCCAATTATACAAATTGCATAAAAGTATTTATAAGAATAAACTTTAGCTACCTTTAGTTAGTTCGTCATTTTTGAATTGAATTTAGATTTAATAGCAAAGACCGCTCGTAACACGGAAAAAACCAAAATTAATCTACATATTTTTAGGAGATTAGTTATCTGTGTTTGTTTTGATTATTTATTACGGATTTTCCAATTTCAAATTAAAATATCTCTTACGATACTGTCTCTTATACACATCTAGATGTGTATAAGAGACAGATATTACACTGTGATTCATGAACCTTAATTAAACAATATTTACCTTTTTTTTTTTTTTTTGGTAAAACATCAATGCAAGACTATTTTTCATTACGCCATATCAAATCACGACATTGAACCGAATTTTCGTGTAACCCAAACTTGATTCGAAGTGAGAAACTGATAACTATCTAAATGCATTGAATGAATGAAATTTAATAGAATCGGATAAATGATAATCCGATCCTTATCATGATTAGGAAAATATCATTGATAAAATGAAAGATTTGCCTTCATTCAAACAATATACTTTTCAACCACTGTAATTAACCATTGAAGGAATGAATCTATTATAATCGAGGCGAAATTGTGAGCGAATTAACTAAAATCGGGTAAATGAATGATCCGTCACTAAAAAGAAATTTTTTAAATTACTAAATACGAGTTTATCCAGAAGAATTCAGAATTTTAAAATGATCCGAATAAAACCGGTAAAAAATTCGATCAAGATAAAGAATTTTTTTTTTTTATAATTTCAGGAGTAAAAAAAAGCAACAGTAAAAAAATAAATATGCACGAAATGATTTGATAGACTGATAAAGTTTTGATTTTTTTTTCTGACACGCGATTTGATTGAAAATTTATGTTTATACCCGAGACTTAAAAAGAGTGATGATTATTAATATCACTGAATTACAAATCATCTTAGATTGGTTCAAAAGTCATATTATTACATCACATTCTCATATCATTCATATCATTTAAATATCATTATTATTTTATTATATATTTCTAAAAAAGGAGGATTAAATTCGATCTTACCAAATATGGATAATATTTACTAAAACGGCTAAAAATGAAAAAATCATTGTAGTAATAATGTTACAGTAGTAGTAATAAAATAAAGGGTTCATTATTTGTCCATGGCAAATATCGGAGTTTTCGGAGAACATAATTGTATTTAAAGTTTTTCTTTTTAGAACATAATTGGTTAAAGGAAAAAAGAAAATTTTTTTTTTTTTTTTAAGCTTCTTTTTCGATGATAATCATTTATTTTTATTTCTATTATTATGTTTTTAAAAAAAAATAAAAATAATCCCAAAATATACATAATTATTATTAAAATATCCCTTAATTATTTATTATATTACACAGTTTTTTTTTTTCTAATTTTCTCCAGCCTCGGGATATTGAATCCACCTCTCAACAATGTTTTTTAATTGAGGTCTTTCACCATGTTGCATTGATACATTCCTCGCATCAATGATCATTGTAGTATATGTACTTCGTGCCCTTCCACAACCTTCAGGGGTTGCCAAGAAATAATCGGCATCCATACAAACCAATTTATCTACAATTCCAGGCATTCCAGCGCCCAAAAATTCCTTTTCTATTGTCTCATCATTTCTTAAACTAGAGAAAATATTTGAAGATACCCAAGAATTAACATTAAAAGTAGAATTTAATAATTTCATTGAATTATGATGTTCATCAGTTAAAAGGTGAAATGTTTGAGATTGAGTTTTACCACCACCAATTGGATAATCAGTTGCAATATAAACATTTTTAATACCAAGAGAATCTTTTAATTGAGAGATTCTTTTAACTAAAGCTTCAGAACATTCATTTAACATACTAATATTTGCTCTTTCCATTCTCCAATGTATAGCAACATAAGGTTTAATTCTATTTGTAATTTTTGCAGCTTCATCAAAATAATGATTTGCATAAGGAATAGGAGATGAAACATTTGGGAATAAAGGATGAAATACGAAATGAGAAGTTAATAAAATTTCAACATCAGTTTTAAGATTATTAACAAGAAAATCAGCGAATTGTTGATGTTTCACAGGATCCTTTGAAAAATTTTTACCAGTATTAAATTGTTTAAATATTGTATTATCATCTAAATTAAAATCAAATCTATTTAAACAATTCTTTGTTTTAAGTATATCAGGATAAGGTTTAACTAATTCCATTTTATAATCCAATTCACCAGGTAATATATAAGCATGTTCAGTATTAGGTTTTTGTCTCCTTTCTTTTAACCAATTTTGAAAGTCTTTTTGAGAAATAAATTTTACATCAGGAAACATATCTTGTAAAGCTTTAGCATTATAATAAAATCCAAAAGTAAAATTTTGACATGAATTAATTCTAGAACTTCCAACATTAGTTAAAACCATTGTACGACCAAGAGCTTGAGCAAGATTTACAAATGATCTAAAATGCATATTCGCTTTAGTTTCTTGTTCAGGTTGATAATAAGCGAATAAGAATTCACATTTTGATTTTCCACAATATTTTTTATTAATCTCTTCATCAATTATTTCAATCTTTTCTTCTATATCTATTTCTGATTCTGTTGTTATTGTGGTTGTTTCTGATTCAATCAAAGTTGTTTCAATTTCAATACTTTCAATTTGTTCGACGTTTTCAGGTCGTAAATCATATTCTATATCAAGGTCAATTTTAACATCGGTCTAAAATAAGAGAAAAACGTTTTTTAATATAAAAATAACTAAATTATAAATTAAATACTGAATAAATTTTTTTATACTTACATAATCACATTGTTTAGTGAACATCCCTGAAGGATTAATTAATAAAGAATTTGACATATCATCGTAATAATATAAATATCCAGTGACATTTAATAAAAAAAAGATTATAAGACAGTATACACTAAGTCTTTTAGACCATTCATGTTTTTTTACATATAAAGGTGGTGTTGTAAGTATTCGTTTAGGCATGACTTTTAAAAAAGTAATTTTTTCTTTTTTTTTTTCTTTTTTTTTTTTTATTCGTAAAACACTATTAAATTGGTATTTTTTTTTAACGTAATGTTATTTTTTTTCTTTTTTCTCTTGCAAAATTTAGTTTTAAAGAATACATTACATATAAACATAATAAATAATAAAGACTAAGAAATTTTTTTTTTTTATATTATTACTGTATCACATGATAAGGGAACTGGAATTTTACCGATGATACATTAANTTTTTTTTTTTTTATTCGTAAACTTGTTTTTAAAATTTAAATAAAAATCTTTATAAAAAAATATGTGTGATTGGGACCTATAATAAAAACGTTCAGTTCTCTTATTATTATCGTTACTATTATTATTATTATTATAAATTATTTAGTTTTTTTTTTTTAAATTAAAAAAAGAACAATATCGGAACGAAAAAAAAATTTTTCAAAAAAAAAAATGAACGTAAAAAAAAAGGTGAGGGGGGGATTTAAATCAAGCAAACTTATTTATATTATGAATGAATTATGAGAAACACTTCTGAAATTTTCGTGTTACATACCTTACATACCTTTATTAGATAACATAATAACATAATAAATAATAAAGACTAAGAAATTTTTTTTTTTTATATTATTACTGTATCACATGATAAGGGAACTGGAATTTTACCGATGATACATTAAAAATGCCAAGAAGAAGGAAACTTGTGTGTCAAATACATTTTTTTTTATAAACAAACAATTTTAAAATTTATTTTTATATATCCAATCATCAAATAATAATAATATTAAATGTTGTATGAATTAACAAAATTAGCTATGATCTATTTCTCCGATAAAAAACGCGGATCTTCGTCATGATTTACATAAAAAAAAAAAATTTCAGGAATGATAAAAAAAATTGCCGTGTTACGAAATGAAACCGGAGATATTTGTTTTTTTCTAAAACTGGAATTTTGTAGCCTAATCAAACGATCATATTTTTTTTTTTTTGATATTTAAGCTTTTATCATTGAGAAAATAAGTATTTAAATTTAAAACTATTAGTTTAAAATTTTAATTATTATAATGTAAGTATGTAATGAATACGCCAAGAATTTTTGAGAATAAAATATTTCCCATATGAAGATGTAAAAAAAAGAGTGCATTTTAAAAAAACTAATTTTAGAAAAATAAAGTGTTACCGCGCTATTTTTTCACTCTATTGTAACAATAAATTTATTGGAGCCATTTTTGGTAACATGAAATTTTTTATGTGTAATTCTTTTGACAAATGTTCTTGACTCAGGTTTCTTGTCAAACATTGCGAAATTGTTGTACGGCAAATTGCAACCAAATATATATCAATTATTTGCCAAAATTATATAATACTAATTTTAATATGGGTACTTGATCATAATCACGTTCGTTTTCCCGTTTATATTATAGATTATCAATTTAGGGTTTGTTGCTGATAATTCATTTTCATAGGAGTATTAAAAGTATAAAAGGAATAGATATGAGAGTAAATTTGCATCATTCACTAGTGTATACATACCCTATATATTATACTAATCCTTTAATAAATCCATGATCCATGAGCCCTTCAAAATTGCATTATAATCCTTAAATCTTCAATCAATCCCTGTCAATCATAAATTTTATTTTGATCACATCCAAATTTTCGAAATTCGATGTAGTCTTATTTCAGGGTTCTGCTTGACAGTTGTATATTGTAGAGGTAATATCTAAAAAGGTGATTTTTTTTTACGTATATCTCAGGAAAATACGTAGCCCTATATAATATATCACTTATTAATGATGCGATAATTTTCCCCTGAACGATTTTTCAGGGAAAATTTACACGGAATTTTTTTAACCATTCATTTTACTAGGGATGTTTTATGGTCATGTGATTTTATTGAACTCAAAATCAGCATAATTTTATATTTCTAAGACAACTGAGCTGATTGAGCTCCAAACCATTTAATTATACAAATGACTCATCAAACTTTACTCAAGTATTTAACCTCTAGGGATATTAATAAAATAGAGGCATTACCAGAAATAACAAATTGTTCTCCAAAATGCCAAAAGGCTGACATTTGATAAAATTAGTAACAAGCAATATTGAAAATTTTGTTATAAAGTTTATATAATGAAATATTTACAAATAAAACTTTATAAACGTATATTGTACCTATCTAATTAAATGGATAATTACAAAATTTTCTAAATTCATAATTTTCTATTAAGACAATTTATTTCTAAAAGTATTTTTCAAAGCTATATAATCAAAACAGGAAATATTTCATAATTTTTTTTTTTGAAATCAATTTTATAATTATAACTGATGCATAAACTTCTACATAGCTATTACACTTTATTGGATTAATGAAAATTAAATATGATATAAATCTTACTAAATATAAAGGACTATTCTAAAAAATTCTTATATAGAAAAAATTCCAAAAAATATTTTTTATTAATAAAATTTTTATTATAATAAATATTCTAGAAATATTGAAACTTATCTGAGTTTGCTGCTAATTTTATTGGTTTAAATCATAAATCGTCACGTATTTTGGTATTTGTTCTGTTATATAGCCATTATTGAGATTTTACTTATTATATCAAATTTCACTGTATATGTGAATGGAGTCAAAATCTTTTATATAATTATTGAAGCAATATAATAAAATATTAACCAGTAAATTGGCATTAGATGTAGGAGTAGTAGGAAGAACTTGTTTCAGTGGTTAGACAGTGACGTTAAAACACTCGCTACTCCATTTTTTATATATAGTAATTTCAACTAAAATAAAAGATTTTTATTTTGAATTACTCAATATATTAAAAAAAATTTTTTATTGCTAAAATAAAAGATTTTTATTTTGAATTGCTCAATATATTAAAAAAATTTTTTATTGCTAAAATAAAATATTTTATTTCTAAATTAATACTTATTACAAACTTCTTTATTTTTCAATTTTGAATGATTGAAAGTTAAATTTGATTTTCTTTTCAAGTTTATTGTCTTCTTTGTCAATAGATCGCTTGACATTTCTAAACTTTTTATAAAAATCATCCTTATTTGAATGTGGTCAACTTTTAATAATTTCATTAGCAGTAACTCTACCAACTCCAGGAATTTGATTTATCATACATGAAAAGTCTGAAAAATTAGGATTAATATCCCTTGTCATATAAAACGTAGCACGTGATGCAAATATAGGACCAAAATTTTCCTTGAAGTTGCCTTTCATAATAATGAAGCAATCAGGGTTTGAAATTTTGTTTTCTAATGGTTGTATAATAAAAGCAATTATTATGTGTTGGCATTTGGAAAGAATATCCTGAACCTTTTTTGGTGCAGAAGTTGAATCTAAGAGATTCTTTTCGTGTTCATTATGAGAATTTACCTGAAAGGTAATATTTACATTAGTGAAAAATTAGAATATATTTTTTATTATTTCTATTGTTTCTTTTGTATCTATTGTTTCTTTTGTTTTTTTTGTTTTTTTTGTTTTTTTTGTTTTTTTTGTTTCTTTTGTTTCTTTTGTTTCTTTTGTTTCTTTTGTTTCTTTTATTTCTTTTGTTGTTTTGAACTTTTTCCTTGACGATGAATGCATCTGTCCATTTAGCAGATGTACCATTGATAATCACATTCTCACCCTTCGCCCAATCAATAGAATTTGATTTTTTATCTGTTAGTTCTACACATGGGAATTGTTGTCTTGCACAGCAAACAGAAAGTTCCTTCAATTCCACCTCAATATTCAATGTTGATTGAGTCCCATAGGCACCACTATATAACTCATTTAAACGCGCTGATTCCTTTTCACATTTTATCAGCAGATTTGTACGAAATGCATAATAAATTGCTACAAAAATCTTTTACGATTGCCAATACATATCGTGTTGTAACTGAAATATCTTTTCAAGTTCTTTATTCACAATTTTCAAGTAGTCGTTGTATATACAGATAAAAAAAAAGACATATTAATAGTAAATTTAGAAGGATCATTATTGCAGGGATTGAGAATGATATGCCCATCACGCTCAAGGTATTTGATCATATATTCTGGCTTACTTTCATTCAAGTATTCCTCAACGCTAACAGGAATTCTATCAATACCGTGATAAAGAAGCTCTAAAGCAAGTTTTTTATTATTCTGAATGAATTCATGTATGTTGTAGTGTTCTTGGAAATAGGCTTTGACATTATGAAAGATGTTATCAAAGTTCTGTTTATCAATTGTTTTAAAGAATTCCTTTCCATTGCACCCAGTTCCTAGACATTCATGAAAGACGTATTGAAGTGCACGAGACAATCCTCTGGTGTCTTCCAAAAGTTGGATAAATGGTTGACAAAACTTCCATCTGTACTCACTCTGGTCAAATTTTTCTGCATTAAACTTTTGTGCATAATGATCTGTAATTTCAATCATTGCTTTAAGCGACAATTGTGAGCATTTGACGAATCTAAATGAAACCTTTGATGATTCTTTTGTAGAGATAACAACATGTGGTACTATTCCAGAAAGAAATGGCTGGACAAAAATATGGGAGGATGGACCAAACATGTACGATGCAAGGCCATTGATCATTTTCTTAAAGAGCAGTTTTTCTTCCATTTCCCTTTTCATAACTGCGTTAGATTCCCACCTGAAACTCGTCAATATAAAGAAATATAAAAAGATGTTAATTGTTGAATTTGAGGTCTAGATGATTATAAATACTTTCAAAAACATCAGATATAGTGAAAATGACACTATATTTTCTGATTAGTCTACAAAAGTTTCAAACATCATTTGATATTTTTCTTTGATGTAAAACATGAAGGCAATTTGCAGGCCGATGATGATAACTGTTGGGATTAGTTCATCATCATATGAATCAAGTTGGCAGTCATTACTGAAGTCTATATAAAGACCTTCAATATGATTATTTTTCCACTCAGGAGAAATCCAATCCTGATTATTTTTCAGGTGTTTGAATAGTTCATCTCTATACCGAGTTTTACCTATGCATAAGATTTAATAATAAATGAATAACTACATGCAGAATCAGCTTGAAAATTATATTAAGAACATACCTATTCCAGGAGCCCCATCACTCACAAGGATGTCATAATCTGTTTTGAATTTAGAGTTTATAAGATGGCTCTTAATATTTCTTATAATTCTTGCAATAACTTTATCGGTTTCATGCTTTATAAAAGGCATACAGTCAACTCCCTCTATAGTCACTCCCGTTATAGTCACATTCTACTATATAGTCACACCAGTTGAATGTTCAAAACACTTTATTATTAAAATTTATCCTATATAGTCACAATCTATCTATAGTCACTATCACACCTATCCTCAAAAATCTTATATTAAAAAGAAC